GAAGCTCAGTGCCCTTCAAGCACATGCACACACATATTTGTCAAATCCATCTCAAAACTAAATCAAAACTTACACAATAACAGGATGCCTTTTGCTCCCCACAGGGACAGCATCATTTCAAATAGAAACACACAGACATAGCAGTAGATAGGTTCATTTCTTACCTGTGCTCCACATTGACTACACTTCTTCTCCTGCTGCTCTTATCACTGAGTCCAATCACAAACACTAGAAACAACTATTCCCTCTGTGAAATCCACACGAAACTAGTCGCCGCTTCTGAGGTGACAGAAAAATGATTATACTCTCATTAATTTGAGTCCAGGAGCAGCAAACGGCACAACGGCAATGTAAAGGACATGAGGACATAGCGAGCGCTCACACTTTTCCTCTGTCACCTCCCCTCCACCTCTCCACATCATATCTCCTCCCTCCCCGTCTCCCTCGCCGTCTCAGGCCTGTGTGAAAACAAAGCCAGAGCAGGAGATTCCAGCAGCTAATCTTGGCAGGCCTTAATAAGCGAGGGCAGTTGTGTCATAAGAAGGCAAAAGCAGACTGTTGAATGCTGTAACAGGGAGGCTGGGGAGGGCAGGGGGAGGGAGTCAAATGTCAACGAAGGCATGAGGAGTAAAATGTGATGTTCAGCACGCGGAGGGAGGAGAAATATTAACCTATGAGGAGATGATTTGTGGTACAGCACTTGGAGTGAATCCTCTAACTTTCTCTCGAAATGGAAAACAACGAAGCACATTCACATCCACCGCCACGAGCCTTTGTGACCGAATCTGGACGCAAGAGAAAGTTGAGAAAAACAGCGAGAATTTGGAACGTATGGAAAAAATGCTGAGTGACAACAGTAACGCACACATGCGGAAATTCATAGGTAAATGCTAGTCTGCAGCACGCAGCCACCCACCATGCAGACAACTTGGAGCTACTACAATGTGACATGAGATGTACAGTAGACGTCCTCACACAACACCACCTCCCAGAGTGCAGCTAACCATTAGAGTATGATGCACTTGCAGTAAAAAAAAAACAACCAACACACTCTCAGTATGCGGGCACACTGCGTCTTAGCACCCCCACGGGCAATCTGCAGAAAGATAGGTTAGAAGGGGAAAAGGACAGCAGTTTACAGCTGTAAGCACATTTCAGCACCCGGGGCCTGAGGGGTAGAGTTACAGAGACACACCGAGGACCAGAACTGTCCCTCACAGTCATAAACATGCCACTAAAGGTTACACTACAAACCATTAAGTTTGGCAGTTGGATTTGTGGTTTTTATGGCTCAATTTACTTTGCAAATTTCTCAAAAATTCTTATGCGGTAACTTAAATGTGAAAAGCCTGCTTGATCATGTTTGCGGTTGTGCAGGCATGTATGATATACTTACAGGTGGCACAGCTTTTGTTCATATTACTTGCTCTTTCATTAGAAAATCCATAAAAAGACATCACAGACTCTGAAGCTCCATTGGTTCCTTCACTTTGTCCAATGATTACATATTAAAGTTAATGTGACTGTAATATTTTTTGGTAGATATTATTTCACATTTTAAAAAAACAATCAATTTTTTATGATCTTATGGAACTGACGCGCTTCAGGGGGAGAGATCATATTATGGATAGGTTATCATTTTGCTGAATAAAAATAATACATATATATATATATATATATATATATATATGTGTGTGTGAATTAGAAGGGCTGAAAGAAGATTAAAACTCATTAAGAGATTAATCCTCTGTCCCTCAACAGCCACCACAGGCTTTTTAAAGCCATGTTATCTTTTTAAAAATGTCAAAAACACACCATTTGTTAGATGAAAACTGTAAAAACAGAGAGAATCATCAACTTGCTAACAATCTTTAAATGCATCATGAATGTCATGCAGTTCCTTCAAGAAAATTAATCGAATCTAAGCTTAAAGTCACAATATTTAAACTAAATCTCTGTATTTTATGTGTCTTTTGAAAAATCAGCCCAAAAAAATTTTTTTTTTTGCTTTCATTGGATTGTGTAATAAATAAAATAACAAAAGTCTGTCATCCTTTTCAGCTGAACTACAAGATGTGCTGAGTACAGAGGAGTCAAGTATGAAAACAAATAAAAAATTGAAGTTTGGAATAGCATTATAACTTTTCATATTGCACAGATGATATTTTACAGTTCTCCCTTCCTTTCGCCATAGTGCTGTTTCCTTGCAGTTAAACATGCAATATAAAGTCAGGTAATGTTGCAGTTAAATATGAGGCCACAGTGGGAAATAATGTTAGAGGAGCAAAAATCACTCCAGAATCTACCTGGAGTTCAGAGAGTTAAACTGCATCTGTTCTTAGGTATGCAAAAAAAAATAAAAAATGTTTTCTAAAGTTTAGGAATGCTAATGAGGTTTTAGCAAACTAAGTTGGACAAATAAAGTCGCTATTTTTCAATTAAATGTGAAATGTGTTCTTTTATTTTTCATGTTAGACTCTATTGCAGCTCAGTCAGTGAAAGCAAAGAGGGGATTTTGTAGAATACTTTCAAGATTAATAATATACCTTCTTGATGTGTCCAACTCAAGGTGCTGAAGCCTTTAGTGTCTTAGGTTTAACCCATTTAGTGAATCTTATATGAGGGTAGTTCAGAAAGTTCTCACAGCAGAAGGACTGCAGTTGCATTATTTTTCAATGTAGTCTCCTTTAACTTCAATACACTTGGTCCACTGATGTTCAAGCTTAGTGATGGAAGAAGGTCGCATCTTGAGCTTCCAGATACTCGTTAACAAAATGTACAACTTCCTCATTACTCTGAAAATGGTGGCCATGCAAAAGGGATTTCAGTTTTGAAAAGATAGAAGTCAGACAGTGCAGGTCTGGTGAGTAAGGTGTAGGGCGCAACAGTTCACAGCCACATTTGGCCACTCCTGCCACCTGTGCTGTGTCCACAGGCACATTTTCCTGAAGCAACAGTAGCCAGCTTAAAGACTTCCTCCCTTTTTTTCCTGTAGCTGCTTCAAACATTTGAGTTTTAGTGGACAGTGATTTAAGGCTTTATAGTTTACAGTTATGCCCCCAACAGGATGCACAAACAGAACCGTCGCGCTCTGAAACCTCTTCATTTCAATAGTGTGCATCGCGCAACCACAACGCGCAGGTTGAAGAAGTCGCGCGCCCCCCACAGTTGAACTTTATTGAACTTTGACCCACCTGTGACGCAAAACCGCGCGGCCAATAGAAACGAGGCATTTTACCTGGCTGGCACGGAGGGCAAAGTGGAGGCAAAGATGCTGCTGTGTGTCTGAGTACCCCGAATTATAGACACGGCTTTGTGGTGGTTTCAACCGCCAGATAAGTTGTTGTAGGTAGAAAATATGCAGTATTATAATATTTTTTAAAAGTCATGTTATGCTACTCACCCCTGAGCAGTGCGCTGATCCCGGCGGTGAGCGCAGCAGATATCGCCTCCTGTGTGAAAGCCGGATTGCGACCCTTGTTTCCGGGTAAGACCGAGAACCTTTATGAAGTAGATACAGTCGTGACTCGATAATCCGACACTAAATGTAAAGCCTTCTTTAATGTCCACCCCGGGGAAGCGCTTTGACCGGGTGGAAGTGGCCAGAACGCACAGGCAGTACTTGGCTGCTGACGCCAGTTTAGTTAGTGGTCACAGTTCTGTTTCCACCATCGGTGGGGGCGGGGGAGAGGCAGATACGCTCCATCGTGTTTACTTCCGTAAACACTGAGCACGCTTGCTGCTTGTGACATCGTCCTGTTCTCTTCTGCACATGCGGGACACTTTTGGGTTGTATGAAGTTCATGCAGCAGATCACATACAAGTCGTATTTAATTGGAAATGTGAACGAACTTACAAAAACATCCGAATTGAGCATTAAGTCCTGCAGTCTGAACATAGCCAATCTGTCGGATTGTTAAGACATAACATATCCTTATTTGTGACATAAAATGTCATGTCGGAGTCGGAATCCAAGGCAGTCGGATGGCCTATTTGTAATGGGTTCCGTTCGTTTTTCCTTAAAACCTGTCGGATAGCAAGGTTTTTGGATTGTTAAGGGTCGGATTATCAAGTCACGACTGTATAGGAATTACTCCGCAGGCCAGAGGAGCTAATGTTGCCCAAGTACAGTCCCTGTTACATAGAATGTCTTTAATTGGAATATATTGTTATCATTGTTATTGGAAACGAACTGCTTTCTATGAAAATCCCCATGTAGATAGCAATATCAATTTCTGAATTTTTCATCTCTTTCTGCACATTCTGCTCAAGAGAAGTCACTTAACTTACTACCTTTTTGTGTGTGTCACCTGTTTAATTTTGCATTGTGAACAGTGCAGAGAACACACTGGGTTGTCCACTAAGGGCCTGTAGCAAAAGCATACAAATAAATAAAACAAAGGACACACAGGCATCTCACACCACAACATGAACTACTGCAAGCTACTATTGCTGGATAGTAGTTGCTGGATAGTAGCATTTCTTGTACCTGCTGATGAAACTTCATTCCTGCATATTGGGGGGGGGCTCTGAATTTATAGCCATAAAAACTTTCATGTAAAATCAGAATTTCATATTTTGAGTACATCAGATGTTTGCCACATAACTAGATCAAATTAGCTCATAGCTCCTAATTTGTAATGGGTAGAACGACAACAAAGCTTGTTTTGCTACATAAGACCATAAAAGTACAAACATATAAACAACTAAAGAGTAACTGAAAAGATATGAATCAGGAGATTTTTTAAAAATAATTTGTTGCAGCTAAAAAAAACACTTACAGCTACAGTGCTCTCCCCAATTAGACCTTACAGTGAATGGAGTCCTGTGACCTCCGTCTTCCATCATGGCCCTGCCCTCCTTGAGTTTAATCAGCCCAAACTGAAAACACCCGAGTGCAAGTGTGCAAGGCATTTTGGGTCGTCAGCGCATTTCTATATAAACTCTGACACTGTGAATTAAACACATGGTGGATTTTGGCTGTTTTTTTCCCTGAAAATATGTCAAGCATAGCTGTACTGACAAGCAGGTATAGCTCATTTGACAAAATGTACTGTCATGACTTGCGTAAACAAAGCTTTACAGACTGGCCATTTAGGGAGGAATGTCACTGCACACCTGAAAAGGTAGGAAGGCCACTGTGTAGCAAAATCCTGGTGCTTTATAACATTGTTTAAATTTATAAAATGTTTTCAGAAGTATGATAGTTAATTTTGACTCTGTAGTGCCCAAAATATTTAATCCAGAATGAGGATTTATAGGTAAGACAGAATGTGTCAGACACCTCTTACACACTTAGGAATGTAGCCACACCTATATCTATAAAGCTCTTCAACTACAGGTTATTAAAACAATTATTGGTATTGCACTTTAATTTTGTTTACACAGCAATGACATCATAGCCTTTTATCCAAGGCCGTGACAGCTTGTAATTTAGAGCTAAGCAGGTGTCAGACTGAGTTTCATCAGGTGTCCAGTTCACAGACCCTTCCTCTTGCCGACCCCAGTCCTGTCATGATGGATGGGCTGCTGATATGTTGCTTGTTGAGCAACACAAAGTGCCATGTTACCAGCTCATAATCCTCCCGCAAGAGCCAAAAGGAGATCATCCTCTGGTTTTATTCCCGCTGATATTTACTTATTGCTATATGCAAAATCTCGTAATTTGGATTTTATGTTCTGTAAGAAATGCTTCTGACATTAATGACCCTGCTGTTTGTCTTTGCAGATGGCCAAGGCTGGGTTTGTCCATTGCCCCAGTGAGAATGAGCCTGATGTTGTGTGCTGTTTCTTCTGTTTGATTGAGCTTGAGGGCTGGGAGCCAGACGATGATCCCTGGTAAGAAAAGCATCTTCACTTCCTGATTTCTGATTCTGATTTTTACATTCATATAAGCTTCGAGTTTCTGAAGAATGTGGTACTAGCAGTGTAGGGATATGCAGTAGTTTCAAATATGATTTTTTTTTTTTGTTGTTGTCTTTATTACTCAGAATTAAGAGATAAGCCATACCCATTTAGAGAAAAATGTAATAGACAGCACATCACAACAGAGCAGGAAAAGGAAAAACTGCAGCCTCATTACAACATTCAGTTCATGCTACAGCCATTTTTAAAAAAAATCTTGATCCGCATGATAATCTTCTGTCTGATTTTTGTTTTACAAAGGATTGTATGCTTGTTAAACTGGATTATTTAAGGATGACAAAGTACTTGTTTGCACTCAGCTGTTTTGTCTTCAATACATTTCTATCACTGCATATTACTTGACCAGGTCGGAACATGCAAAACGCTCCCCTGACTGTGGATTCTTAACCATGAAGAAAGACTTCACCGAGCTAACTGTGGCTCAGTACTATGGAATGGAAAAAGAGAGGCTCAAGATCTATCTCGTAAGTGTCCTTATCAGTGTAGACTGTATGCAGTGAAGTAACCTTTTGCCTAAATACTCCTACAGTGATTCTTCAACATTCAGCTTTGTGTTGTTTTTCTCTAGAGAAAAGTTTGTCATAAGAAGATGGCAGCAATGCGGGATGACATAGACCACACGCTTGAGAGGCTTAAATCTCAGTTGGACTCGATATGATTCTATGTATTGTTTTTTTTTTTTATGAAAGGGTGCAGCAAAAGCCTACAGTCTTTACTAAATACTTTGATGGAATGGCAGTTTAAAATATTAATAAAGTTTGGTGGATTACACTGTAGTACTGTCTTTAACCACAAGATGGTGCTTTTGCACTAAAGCGGTAGTTTTCCCACCACAGGCGCACTTTGTGGAATCCCCAATCTCGCTCTAAACCTTCACAAATGCAATCTGAAATGAAAGCCCACATTGAGCAGGATTACAATGCGGGGCTATATTCCTTCTTTTCAAACCAAATACTTACCATTTTCCTGAACGTGCCACCACCTCTACCACCCCTTTTCAAACCTTGACCCTGGACAGATGGCCTGAAGCCCCTCCTTTTCAATACCAACTGTTGCCCCAGTAACATCTGTTACATATAGGGGGACAGTGTGCACTGAGAGGGCTTGCCAGGACACTGTGTCTAACCCTGTGAGGAGAACTGAGATCTTAAGGAAAAAGTGCAGGATGCTGCAGCTGACTATGGAAACTGTGGGAAAGGTGCTCATGCAATAACAGTCCTAGAAAACTCACTTTGTTGTTTCACTAGTTGTTTAGCTCTTCAGGAACAAAGGTTTAAGTTTGTGCAGTCTTGAGATATTCACATCTTTTATAGAGCAGAAACAAAACGTGTGGTGTGTGAGTTTGATGGGAGGGTTGACTGGATAGAGAGCAGGATTAAAAGATGCGATCCCTTCTCCAACCTTCCACTGTTCTGGATTAATGTCTAATGTAACACTCTGGCCACTGAGCCCAGATCAGCTGCTTAATTCTCTTTTATCCGCTCACTGCAGAGCAAATTGCAGAGAATATTTTTAGATGAAAAAAAAAAGTAAAATATCCCTAGGTGATGTAACATTTCTAATGAAACTGTTATTCTTTAGGTTTTCTGAGCTTTCTTTCCCAATGAGGTTGTGAAATATTTTCACAATCACTCGTACTTTGCTGTTGAAATCAAAAGTATTCATTTGAGATAAAAACCAGCGTATGTGGAGAGGAACATTCACTAACATTATCAGCTAATACATCCAAGGAGTTTATTGATGAGCTGGTCTGTTTAGTTAAGTAAATGGTGGGGCTTTGCATAAGTACACAGCCTGTTTACAGTAATTGCTAATGTAACTCTAATCAGGGCTTATACCCACATCCCGTGTCAATCCACTTACATGTGTGTGTGTTCCAGAAAATGAACAAAGAGAATAGCATGGCGTGACTTCTGTCTCTGTGCAGCACAGATGTGATGGATGGGCTTATGTGTGGGAACGGTGAGAAACTGTTTTCATTTTATTGGATCATAACTAAGATGAGGGCCAGGCCTTATGTTTCCCCTCACCCCACTTTTTTTTTTTTTTTTTTTTGTAGAATAATCAGTATAAACCTAAAATCAGTCTTTAAATAGCAGCAGTCTGCATTGCACCACCATGCATTTGATTAGGTTTCTCTCAGATCTAATTAATACCCTGTGACAAGGGGTTTACACCAATGACCTCGACTGCAGTTTCCTAATTAATGAGTCTCCGCTAAACAAACTGTAAACAGTGAGTGTAGCAGATGGACAAACGGACAGATGTTGCTAACAGAAACTTTACAACCTGAGCTTTCCATCAGGCCCCATCTGTTGCTTCTTGCAACCGGTACCTCCCCTCTACCATCCTCCAATGCTTCTCCTCATCAGCATCTATCACAGAACACTGATGCTCTATACGCGGCCCTGAATTAATGACATCAGCATTTACCTTCTCAAATGACCTGGCTTAACCCTTTGGTAAACAAAGACCAAATCATGCAACATATTATCACATCAGTGCAATAAAGATGGGACTTTTTCACTATTTATCTAATGGTTGTTCTTCAACCTTCACCTACTTATGCGCTCATGAGAATATACTAAGCAAGATGAATGACTGGCATCTATAGAGGCCAGCTGACGGAGACTTCAAAGTGATTGTGAACCGAAGCCGTGTTGGTGTGTCTAAATCATGATGGATTTACTGATTGATTGCCAGAGAATAAGGACATGGAGTTGCACAGTTCCTTGCATCACAATTAGGAAAAAAAAAAAAAAGTCCTGTTTGAGTTTTTCTCCTCCACCTCTAATGTTTCTTCCATGTCTCCGGCAGCAGGGCATGCTGGCTGCCTGCTCTCTCAGACACCACGGCCCTCCTACCTTGGCTGTTTTTTTTCTTCTTCTTTTTTTTGTGCCCTGTTCCAAAGAGACCTCCATCTGTCCCTACACTCGGCTCATTGTGGTGTCCCTCAGCCCAGCAACTTCCACAATGCAGTGGGCGTGCAGAGGGGGGGGGGTCAGGGTAAACACGACAGCATCCACATCCCATTAGAAGCTCTTTAACTCCTGCACCCTAATACTCCGAGAGAACTCTGGGAGGGGAAGGTCCACCCCTTATCCTCGTGCACACAATGTCACCTTTTACACCCACTTCCATAGGTAATGAACCTGCAAGCTGCCCTCTTTCCTCCCCTTCCATGTACGTCTCCATTTTTTATCTCTCTGGACAAGCTGTTGTTTTGTGTCATTTCAGTTTCTAATCAAATTAATATAATATTTGAACTGAATTTACATGTTTTACAGGAGAATCAGTGCTGTTTTTTTTTTTTTTAAAGCGATACTAATGCAGAGAACCATCCTTGGATATTTGTTACCCTTAAGCTGGATTCATTTTATTAATGTCTTGCTAGAAAGCAGCTGATACGCTGATATTCTAATGGGATGTGATATAAAAAGTACGTCAGTTTTGGCCAGTTAATACAGTTTTATTTATTTTTATTCCCTTTCTTTCACCATGTTATAAATGACCAACCCTAATCATGAGCTTTTTAGATTACCCCGCCTCCAATCCTGCCATGTTCTCACTCCGCCAGCCTTGGCATCTTTCATTGTGTTTCTCTGTCTTTGCCCACATTTCTTTCTCTATCCATCTCCTTGGGCTTTCTTCTACCAGCTGCTCTTCCAGGGCGTCTCCATTTCGGGGTGCACCACCTTTCAACCTGGGCACCCATATCTCTATACACCCTACAGATGCAAGTGTGTAGTGTATAGTGTGTGTGTGTGCATGTGTGTGCATGTGCTGAGGCCCAAGAGGAGGAGGAGGAGGAGGAGGAGGAGGGGGGATCACTGTGTTCGCCCCAGCTTAAAGGCAGAGGGATTATCGGCACACAGACACTGATTAAAGCCTTCCAACCTCCCATGGCCCCATTAATACAATCTTAATCACAATGCTTTATCCTTCCATCTAGCTCCTATGGATCAGGACCTTTTCATTTTAGTGTGAGCCACTCTTGTTTGGCCAGTGGATTAAGTGTGCTGTGCACAGAAACTAAAATATAGGCACAAGAGAATGAGAGAGAGAAAGAGAGCCTGAGCTTCATTTTGTACTTTAAAAACTCTTAGTTTGGATTTTGTGTTTTTCGGTTTTTGTCTGTGAAATCAGCCAGGATGAATCAAAGTAATCACCTTTATGTCGCCACTGGGACTCATGTCATCAGTGTGCATATCTGCTGTATGATGTTTGCAAAATTAAAAACCAAAAAAAATGTAGGAATCAAGAGTTGGATTGCAGCAACATTCAATCCCTGGGCTGATATCTGATATGGCCTCACACTCTCAGGGGGCTGAGCTACAGGTTGCACTCTGCTGCCTTCTGCTTCAGCCAAGATGGCATTATTGAGCATGTGTTCCCCTCCCATTAGGAGGCCCCCGTGCACTTATCATAGATAAGATAAACACTTGATATGTTTGATCAAGTCTGTATAATAAAGTACTGCAAAGTTCCAATGTTCTGAAGCATATCTTACAGTATTTCACAGCAGAGTTGAAGCATTTTAACATGCTTCATATTCTTTGCATCACCAAACAACAAGTTTATCAGAAAATCCTAAACCCTAACATGAAAATTATTTGTAGATTATTGGAAATTGTTTCCATGTAACTACCAAACTTTCCACCATACCGAAATCTCTGAGACTGCCCTGCGTCTCTGTGTTTTGTAATCTTGTATCCAAAGTCAATTTACAGGGATTATTTCCATATCCACCCACTCATGTATTTGGACTCTGGAGGATAATTCACATTCCCTGCCCCCCACCGTTTTTGTGGTAACAAAACAGCAAAGACACAAAGAGGGTGTGCGCCAGCTAACTCTGCCAATACTTTCTCACAGGCCAAGTGCTTGCCTGTGTGTAAAGCTATGTGTCGTTCCCGTGCCAAGGCTGACACACAAGAGCAGAGAGGACAAACTTGTGAATGAGAGGCGAGGACCTCAGTCACCTCTCTTGCCCTTTCCTTCTCTTTCCTCAGCACACTAATTCCCCTCTCCCTTTCCCTCTCTCATCCCTCTCTCTCTCTCTCTCTCATGCTCTCACTCTCTTCCCTCTCTCTCTCTCTTTCTCTCCCCAAATTGGCCCAGCTGTCCGTCAGCCCCCCCGCAGTTCCCCCAGCTGTCTGCCCTCCCCGAGCGAGAAGCCCAACAACAATGCAGGTCACAGGTCAAGAGAAAGAACAGGCTGCGTTCACAATAGACCAGTGGCGCCCACTAAAACAATTGTTCCATTTTCTCCTCCGGTCTTTCTCCGCTGTTGCCAGAACTGGAAAAGACAAACCTTTGGAGAGGTAGCTGAAGAGGGGAGGGGGGGGGAGTCCTCCTGGACAACAGCCTCTAAAGCACCTTCCCCTTCTTACAATTGTCTAAAGGGCCATGAGGATAAACACACTTGCGCACACTAGCTCTTGTTCTCATCACTCCACCTTTGCGTCCTGCCACCCTGTTGTTTGTTTGTTTCAAGAGCCATCATGTCCTTGAACGTGATCATTAAAGTCAAAAGTCGAGTCAGTCATTAGTCGAGTGATATAAATGTGTTAGGAACCGTGCCAGCTGGAGCTAATCGGACAATAAGCATTTCTTATCTATATCTCATTTGCAAATCGCTGAAGTTTTAGCTTAAGCAGGCTTTATGACATACAGTGTTTGTTACTTTTTCTCTAAATAATAATAATAATAATAAACAATCCTCTGAACTTGCATAATTTTGTCCATATACTGAACAGTGTTTGAACAGAAAGCTCAGGCTTGTCTTGTCTTTCAGTAAATGTGGATGAATTATTTGAAAATGAGTTTTTGCCCTACAGTGTTTTGGCATGAGCAAGATGGGAAAATGGGACATGTGTGAGAGAAAGCCAGCGATGGAGGTTCAGAAAAGCCTCTGTGACATATTCACCTGTTCCCCAGAGCTGTTTTCCCATGGCCCACAACAGCCTCCCGCCTGACCTGATAGAAACCCCAGAGCAAGCCTTTGAATGACATCACACACACACACACACACACACACACTGCAACAGATCTCTATTACCAGACCACAAAGTACTCTTTTATCCAACAACTTAGTTTTGCACATTTCCATTTGTTTTGATAGGAGTGTCCCTGTGTTAGCTGTGAAATGATTCAAAGCAACAAGGAGCACAATTGTTTTTCTTCAGTTTAAAACACCATTTCAGCTGCTTTTTGTTGTCTTTGTGCACTGGAGTTTAATATATAACGTGCATTCATGTCCAAACTTCTGAGAAATGTTCTCAAGTTAGTTGCTAGAAACCTGCATGTAATTATTGATATTTTATGTGCATGTTCTGTAAAATAGCTGAAACTGTGAGTAGAAGTAAGCCTTAGTGTGAGGTATGAGCTGCTATTGATGCACATGTTAAAATGACTGCCACAACCAGGGCTTGATTTGGATTTTGTTGTGAAATTGTCTTCTGATTTGTGGATTACTGGGGAAAAAATAGTGATTCTTACTGCCATTAACGATGTGGCAAATGCAATTTGAAACTGCAAAAAGAAGTCAATTTTTAAAGAAAACTGCACAATGACTTAATATTTAGTAGCATCATCATTAACTAATGTAGTGTAGCTGCATAGATTTTTCTGTCGAGCTGAAGTTGAAGTGTGGGATGTTAACAGGATAAGACACACGGCACACATTGTTACTATGGAAATAGCATATAATATAAGAATATTTATTCAATTAAGTGCGAAACAGCAAAATATTAACAGTACAGTATGACAAAAAAAAATATGTGACACCAAATGAACAAGTACCTGAAAGATCTCAAATAAATAAATTAAATACAGTACAGCTACCAGTGACTGGCAACAATCAAAGAAGACAATGAAACAAAAACTGTGCTGAGAAAGATATATAAAAAGAAAAAGGACAGGACATTATCAAAATAAATATTAAATACAGACATAAATAAATGCATTGCTTTTCTTAAAACGAGGAGGGCATTGGCTGCAGGCCTCTGTGCACAATTTAAGCTGGTTTTGATCAGTAGTTTTCTGTTCTGTAGACCAATGTTCTCATGTTTTGTTCAAACGCTCTAAGCATCTGAGTAATGCTTCAGCATGGAGCTCTCATTTGGTAAACTAATCTTTAATTCCGCTCTTCAACAACTGAGGGGGCAACATGTTAAGAAATCATTGTAATCCAAATATCAACATATCATCAGAACAAAACAAAAAAAAAGAGAATAAATAAAATGATAAATGCCATGGGTGCATGTTTGTATCAGGTAGATTGAGTTGAGGTGATGAGTCTCTCTCTCTGAGCATTCAGTGCTCTCCCAGAGTACTAGACAACATAAATGCAAACCACTTTCTCTATACAGTCAGTACCATGATCATCATTTTTACAGCAGTTTATACAGGAGCAGTGCTTCTCCTCTGGCCAGTTTCAGAAGAGTCACTCACTGGTTCTGTCTCATTTCAGATGGTGCCCATCTGAGAGGCGACCAGGTGAGAGGGAGCGAAGGAGTCAAAGGCCACATCTAGGGGCAGCTCGTAACGAGAAGGCTGAAAGAGAGGGTGGCCCTGAGGCCCCCCCGGAAGGCTGCCAGTCGTGGAAGCGGGGTAATGGTGGGACGAGAGGTAGTGGGCATGGTGGCTGGTGTGGGGTGTGTAGTTCCTCTCTGACTCATGGGGAGAAGGCTCCTGCTTCAGGGCAAAGTTGCCACTGATGCTGAGGGGGGGAGTCAGTGGCCCGTCGTACGGCGGGGTGCCGCTGCTGCACTCGTTAGGGGAGGGGTTGTCATATGCAGGCCCCTTGAATCCCTTCATATGAAGGAGGTGGGATGCCTCCAGGGAGCCGTAGGGTGGGCTGGGAAGGCCTGGGGATGGGTAGCTGAGGGGATGGCCAGCCATCACACCTCCCACCCCCGGGCCTCCACACTTTTCGTCCAGCTTGTTAAGAATCATTGGAGAAGGTCCCAGCTGCAGGCAGCCAGCCACAAGGTTACTGGTGGGCTGAGACAGGCCTTTACACAGCATCTCCACAAACCCATGGCTCTCTGTGGACTGGCCGCTCTCAAGCACCTCCGACAGAGCCCAGATGTAATTGCGGGCCAGTCGTAGAGTCTCAATCTTTGACAGCTTCTGTGTCTTGGAGTAGCAGGGCATCACTCTGCGCAGATTATCCAGAGCATCGTTCAGGCCGTGCATACGAGAGCGTTCTCTGGCGTTGGCCTTGATCCGCCGGGCACGAAACCGCTCCTGTCTAGCTTTGGTCATCTTCTTCTTCTTAGGACCTCTCCTTTTAGGAGCCTGTTCTCCATTTGGTCCAATCTCCTCCTCATCATCCTCCTCCTCTTCTTCCTCCATGTCCTCACTACCCAGTTCTCCGCAGGAGTGCATGCGGCCCCCTACGGTCAGGCCGTGGCGACCCCTCATGTCTGGGCTTTCATCTCCATCCTGTGAGCTGCCATCGTCCTCCAGCCAGCCGAGGGAGCTCACCAGCTCACTCATGTCCCCACTCTTCCCAAACGGTTTGGTCATCATTTTGATCTGAAAGAGCAGAGAACAAAAAAAATGGTCAGCATCTATAAACTTCATCCAGTCTGTAAATGTCAGTGCACAATGCTGCTCCCCAAAATGCACATATATACTTTTTTTTTTTTTTTAATGACTAATGAGCGACACTAACTAGAAGCAGCTGCTGACAACACATGTGCCATAAAATACAGAATGGGAGCTTTGGTTTCAGCACTGCAGTGTGGACAGCTCACCCATCTCCCTCAACAGCCAGTTTCTCTGTCCTATCCAATATTTGAAAGAAAGCATGTAATTATTTAGAATTACATAGTGATATTAAAGTATACATGGCTATTTTTAGCATGAATGCTCCCCTGCTGTTATGCCGTAGTCGTTGCAGAGACGCTGTCAATCTGGGACACGACGGGATTTACTCAGCATATAAAGCTCAAAGATTAAATAGGCAACATACAAATCAACAAACATGTGGACAAACCGCCCACATACTGATCATAACGCTACAAAGCAGTACATTTATCGATAATTTATTTTTTATTTTTAATTTTTACCTCATGTAGAGCAGTTATACAGAGCCAAACCCTTAATTTGAATGAATTAAATTAATATATTGCTATTTTGTATATTCTTGTTAAGTGAAACCCGGACAGAAGACTTGCTATTGTTTTGGGGGGGAAAAAACTGCCCTAGTTAATTATTGTGCACTAGTGCGTAAAAGTGGGACAGATTACTGTAATTTATGAAATCAGAACTTTACGCACGCAATTCTGTTGTGACTACACATGCAACTGAACATAAAAAGATCACTGCAAGTGTAAGACATTAGTTTTAGTTTGTTGGAAATATTGTTAAATTTAAATAGTATAAATCAGTTTCAGAGATTTTTTTTCTCCATCCGTTCGAAGGAATGCAAGTGTCTGCGCTCGACTAAGTGGCTTAAATGTAGTTCTCATTTAAAATTAGGAGTCTTTAAACTTTTTAATTAAGTTGGATCTAAAAATTAAACAAATCTGCAAACTCACCTGTTTGGATTTAACGCTCGCTTTGCGCAAAGCAAGAGAAAATCTGGCGAGTTTTCCAAAAAGACTACAGCAAACTGAGTGATAAGTCCAGAATCGCTGGGTGTCTTTCTTCGCGCATCTGCCAGTGTCCCCCAACTCTTGGTGCTCCTTCAGAAAGCCATGGGTGAGTCTGGAACTTTCATCTCCAAATGGCAAGACTGGGCTGATTTTTTTCGCTTTTTAGCCGGACAGGCCCCTCCTTCCGCCGCCCCACCCACCATCAACTCATCCAAAACGCGCGTGGCGGGCTCGTGACCACAAATCCACCCCCAGCAAATGTGTAAGGAGCAGACAGGGAGTGTGCGCGCTCGGGTGCACGTGTAGCCAATTCTGCATTTGTAAATCACGGGGGTCTTGAAACACTGAGAGGGCGGACTTGTTCTGGGGTCAGAAAATGCGCACACAGTGGAAAACACACATGGTCAACATAAATAGAGCTGAAGACACGAGATGTCTATGATATATATTTTTTTTAAAAACCATGCTGAAGTTTATAGTAGAATAAAGATTGGGATACATTGGGACTTGCCAGTTTTGTTTTGTTTTTTGTTGTTGTTTTACTTTTTTACTTCCCAGGTCTTACAGTTCTTATTAGCCAAAAATGATCTAAACAAGAATGACATGTAGACCATTAAAACTTTTGTTTCACTCTGATGTCAAACTTATCTTAGACTTAGTGACACATTATTTGATAGAAATTCCAACTGTGCTGCCACAATGCCACCGACCTACAGACATTTTTACAACTTTTGGTGGAAAACCGGATGGATGGATACTTTATTCAAATCCCTTGGAGAATTTCAAAGTATCCAATACTGTACTCCACATTTGGTGGTAGAGGACCCAGTGAAGTTGCAAGAAAAAACGGAAGGTGCTGGTACAATTTAAGAAAAAAATATTAAAAAAAAAAAAGTCTAAACAATAATAAACTTATAGATTTAATACCTCACAGCAGAAAATGGATTCTGTCTTTCTCACATCTGGTTACCTCAATCATTTTTATTTCTGTCTTTATTTTTCTGGTTGGCTTCATGCCACAGAATCTGACTTGCCACAGATGCCAAACTGTTTTTATGCTGCAGCCACATTCTGCAAAAATCGGACCTTTTGCCAAATTTGTACTCATTAAACCTTTGTCTATGTGTATAACCTACATCCCCACACTGGGAAATTGATCAATTAAAAAAAAAAACAACACACACACACTTTTTTTTTTTGGCTGTAGTGTGTGTTAACCATGTTAATCGATTGTCTATCTGTTCATTAGTCGGTTGGATTAGGCTTTTTCTACTTAATTAAGCACAGTGTAGGCCTGGTCCTCGCTGACTTAAGAGACGCTTTTCCTTGTGTGCGCATTTAAGTGATTTTGACAGCTTGGTGTGCAGAGAGCAGGTGTGTGCGTTGTTCAACCAGTCTCTCAATTGTTTGCTTCCATTTTTAGCGTCATATTCCGCCCCAGAGGATTATAGGCTATCTGATTATTGAATCGATTGGCGCAATGATGGAGACACGAATAGGGGCTACTTTTTTTTTTTTTTTGGTAGACTTAAATCCGTTTTGACAGTTATATTGTAAAAGAAATGTGCTGCAATGCGATATTGTAAAGTTGGTTCACTTGCAGTTCCATTTTTCTGTAAAGATAGAAGTTTAGTTAAATAGTTTTTTGTTTGGTGGGATGAAGGTTCATCAACCCATTAAGAGTTAACATTTCAGCTCAGTAGAACGTTTAAACAGATTTATACGGTCTTTGTCTTTTAATACACTAATCGTGCGACAATATTGATCATTTTTGCGCACTTTGGACCACAAATGCCGCGGCATAATAAACGGCCGCCGGTGCTCGTGCGTGGCGCGCCGCGGCTCAGTGGGGGTCTTTTGTCATCGCTCCCACTGACAGCCGGGGTCTCGCGAGCCGCACGTGCCCCCGCATTGATCCCATTGTGCGCGCTATTGCGCACAGCTGTGCTCGCGACTGAACTTTTTTTTTTTTTTGCCAACCGCTCCACGGGCTCTGCGTGTTTTTTTTTTTTGTACGTGCGCGATGTTTAGGCTGTTGTTTGCGCGTCGAGGAAATAAGATACAGTCACGTGGCCGATCGGCATCCTCGCGTAAAAACCGACACTTATCTAACGATTTATTGGACGCAGCCGATAGCAGATGGTTGAATATAGGAAGCGTTGGGGGTCGGAGGGGAGGTGGGGGCATCTGTTGCTTGGAGCCTCACGCGTCACTCGCCCGATCGTGCAGAAACGGTATTCATGCACCTCTCCAACGGTCCCCCATCGAGTCCTGGTCAGCGCGCTGGCCATAAAGGCGCGTGGACACAGAAAGGATGAGCCTCGGCCGTTGTTTGTGTGTGTGTGTGTGTGTGTGTGTGGGTGACTAATATGAGGCTCCCCCAGGTACATGCACTTCTACCCCCCCTGCAGATACACTCCCCCTTCTGTCCCATGAGTGTGAGCATGGCCTCGCCACACCTGCAGCCTGCGTGGGGAATTGGAGCCTCGCAGTCTCCCACAATCACCGTCGGTTTCCCAAATGACTGAGTGACTAACGGAAAGGGAATTGCCCTGCTCCCATTTCAGCACTAACATAGATAGTCAACCTTCCGGAAGAGGTCATGGTGAACACATCTGAGCTGAACCAACTTTTGATGAGTTTGCATGATTTAAACCCCGGCAGTCCAGATTATTTCTGTTTTAACAAAGTTACACAGTCCGTTACTGACTTGACTTGCTCCCAAGAACAAGTGTATATGTGGGAAAATGTACAGTACAAAAGGCTGTTAGTATGATTTAGCTTTTAGTGCTTGTGTTGAAAAATAAATGGCACAAGCTGCCCAAGAAAACAGTTTAAAGATATGACCAAAAGAGTACCAGCCTTATATCAGCTATTTAAGTGCTGTTGTTGCTATTAATGGGGGTAACCCCTCTCCTTACAAAAAACACTGCCACAAGTGAGTTGTCTAGCGCTCCTGTCCCCTGGGACTCGGAGTGGAATGGGAGGGATTCGTGCACTGTGCTGACAGATGGGTCCTTGTTCCTGTCTTTTTCTTCATCTCTATCTCCCTCTCCCTCTTTTGCTGCAACACAGACACACTCACACACACCAAGACTGCACGAATACAATAGGAATTAAAGCTCTACACACATGCTCCCTGGTCCGCTCCTGAAAGCTGAGCCCCTTGTAGTGATCATAAAAGATGGAGGGAGCTTGGATTTGCGAGAGGGCTTGGCGTGCTAAGGAGTGGGGGGTGATGTGGCTCAGGGTGGTGAGGCTAGAAAAGATAAAACTGTATTGTTGCCAAACTATAAAAAAAAAAAAAAAGTTTGGCATTGCACGGAATTTGCATTTAGTCGAATACATTTTAATGTCTTATCTGTAATGCTTTTGAGCATTTTCAGCAAACATTTCCTGTGCATGTGCACTTTATCCGACTGTTTGTAAGTTATTTTATTGCTACGCTTTACCATAGTGGTCGTGTGTGTGTGTTAAGAAGTCCCAGGGCTCACTTCTCTCCATTTGCTGTTCATCGAGGCTGAATGTGGTCACATACACAGCAGGCTTTCCTAAGGGAGGGTCTCACAGACCTACTGACACACACATACACACAGTTCTGAACTTTTAACCTCAGTTAAATCTCTTAATGAGACACGACTCTTCACCATTGCCTCATTTTACAGTCTACTTTTAAAGACCTTTTCCTAAAATCAAGAGTGTCCTTCTCTAAATCAAGCTATATTATAAATGATGTGTAAATAGAAGCGTAGAGTTGTAAGTTTTCACACTGTTCCAGCTGCAGCCCACTCAGGATACATTATACCTCTTCCCTTAAACACACACATGGTACATGATAGCTGTAGAGTCAAGGTGTGTGTCTAAATTAATGCCCTACAGACAATTAGATGGTTATCTTATTCTGCTTGTGTCAGAATATAATCCCTTGTTTGACTTCACACCACCATATTTATGGCAGGGGGTAATGGATTGTCATAGCCATAAAACTATGATGTCAACAACTTAGAGTCTGCCGAATCACAAAGTGAATTTTGATAAGATCTAGCAGCATTTCATCTCGGCAATATGAGCAGATTGTCCGCAGCTTATTCCTCTTCCTTTGGGCTAATGGATTTGGAAAACATTCCAATCGAGCAGAAATGTGGCTACAGAATGGGAATCAGGCCTGAGGGCAATTCTCACTAAGTGGGGAGAGAGCCATTAAACAAAGGTGCCTGTGGTTTCATATTCAGGATACTTTACAACCTCCGTCCCAGGACATCAACAGTGTTTTTGGGTGTGCTGTTAGAGGGGGCAGAAGAGGAGGGAGGGGGGGGAGGATCCATCTGCCATGCTGCCGGTCCTCGGGGAGATGGGCATATCCCAGGGGTGTTTTGGAGAGAGAGGGTCTGAAAGGATTACACCCAACCACTAATCAAGGACGGTAATCTGTGGGCCCCCATACAAAATCCCCTCCGATCCAAACAACAATTTGGGATAGAAGATAAAATCTGAGCATACAGACACATCTAACGGACACTGAACAACCTGAGTAATACAAGGAAAAATACAGGTGATTTTTAATTGGGAGAATCGACTGCGGAAGGTGTGATTGGCAAAGAGCCATCGTGTGTCTGTGATCAGGTGCAAGTGTCCCACAAGTGGCCTTGTCTGAATCCCAGTGTGACCATTATGCAAATACAGCAACTAGACAAGCAACATAAATTTGTCTAACGGATAGGAGCACTTTTAATCAAATCCAAAAGGTTTTCCTTGAATTGCATTTGGTGATAATGGCGCAAAATAGCAACGTTTTGCTCAATATCTACAATTTAACATTTACAGCATGAAATTTTTTAAAATAAACCATTTTTATTTTATTCTTTTTAAAGGAAACTAGGGTTTGTATAGCCTTCAAGATGAACTTCTAACTGCTGATTTATCACAAGGTGAGCCCTGCAGAGTAGTAGTCCCTTATCCTAATACTTTGTCACAGCAGGGAGCCACACAAGGTGCAGCTGCAGAGCTGTTATCCTGGCAGGTTTCTCCATCCGGTGAAAGAATAGCAGGGAATCAAGTTGCCACTACTTTCAAGGTCCCCTGTCAGTGTGGTTTTGATGTTTTGGGCCTGGGTGGGGTTGTGGATCTGCTAGCGGTGGGTTTAAAGCTCCACAGGACTATAGAAGAAGCTGCCTAATGATGGTGCCAGTCCTCCAGGGCATAGGGAACGGGAGCATCCTGGCCTGCACCTCCTCTACCTCCTGCAGAATACCCACTGGCTAGGCAGCCTCTAAGCTCCCTATCCCCATAGCCTCATTGTTTAGTGGGCCCGGCACTGTCAATATTAAGCCTCGCTAATGTGATCTAGAGGCAGCTGGAGCAGCCCCGATTATTACCATGACACAGCCGACCGAGGGGTGTAATATCATTAAAAATAAATCAGGTGGTTTGGAGATTTGCTGTAGCAGGGGGGACTTTGAATAGCATTAGGTGGGAGAACTGCCATAATTTCATTAGTCAGTTGGGGCACCTCAGTGAATCTGTTGAAACATTTCCTTTAAGTTGGAGTAATTGAATTTGCCTTTACAACACTCCACACAAAGAGGAAGGTAGAGGAATTAATGATGATAATTTTCCCAATTAAGTGTCTAATAATTTAGAATATTAATTTCAGACATGCAGGCGGACACCTGGATATCATAATAGGGTTATATCTCAATTTCTTAACCACAGCATATACTGTAGTCCTGATAATGTATTTCAAAGAAGAGACACAGGATATGTCTGAAGTTATTATTAGCCTCTTGCGGTGGATTATTGTTGGAAATGATGAGGAAAACGTGAGGCCCTGGTAATCTTCTTAAACTGTTTGACACTGAGCTGTCTGCTCGGCAGACTCATCAGCAATCAGCTGGCTGGTGAATAGGCTGACAGAATCTATTAGCATTTCAAAAAGATTTCAAAAAACCCCAATAAAAAATATATTTTAAATTATTCCCTTTATTGTTTGATCAAAACCTGCCAAAATTCGTATTATTTTAATACAGGCTTGGTGGGATCACTTTGTTCTTGGTGTGTTTTTTTTACTTCGTTTTTGCATGTTCGATCCGCTATTAAAGCACCAGCAGTGCCGTTGGTCTCGCAGCGAGGGTCTCACGTTTCTATTGTTTTGACGCACAAGACCCATAAACGGCGATTTCAAGGCCCATTGAGCGCGCGATGGATTGTGCCCGAAATCCGCAGACGAGCGGAGCGCAAAGATCATTGGCTGAGCGGGTGGAGTGACGCCAGAAGTTGTAAATCTGTGTTCCGATTGTGCACAGTGACGTTGAGTTTAATAATTAAACACACACACACACACACACACACACACACACACACACACACAGACAATCACTCCGATAGATAGATAGATAGATAGATAGATAGATAGATAGATAGATAGATAGATAGATTATCTCTATATTTCCTTTTAAAAAATATGTCCTTTATATCATAATTTGCTGCTTGTGACTGCCCTGCAATTCAGAGAACTGAATATTTTGCGGGTTTTCTGAGGGCAAAAGCTGGATGAAGTTGTGCGTCAAGTCCTCCTGTTGTTGTGTAATAGTGACACCTAGTGTTACCCTTTGGGACAACACGCAGTATGTACTACAGTGGCAATAAAAAGTAATCACCCTCTTGGAACATTTCCCCTTTTATTGCTTTCCAATATTGAATTATGGTCAGTATGATCAATCCAATTGAGAGTTTATAGCTGGATTTGAAAAGGGGCTGTTCGTCATCCAGATGTGCAAAGCTGATTAAAATCCATCCATACAAGCTTAATGCTGTAATTGTGTTTAACCCTATTCAGGACTTTCATGTTGTCATACGTAGAAGGTCTTTCGGAGTCCACTGGACCCCAAGAAAGAATATGAGCAAAATATTTGTTGGTATTCATCACACACTTTTACACTATGCTAATTTTCTAAAAGGTTGATGTATTTTTGGTTCCAAATACATGACAAATGTCCCTCTTTTTATATTTAAAAAAAATAAATCTTAAAAAATAAAACATTAAAAACAATACCTGTCACCTAAACCGAATGGCCAACAGACCCCAAAAGTCCTGAATAGGGTTAAAGGTGCATTTACTAAACACTGACTTGAAGGGGGTGAATGCTTATCCAGTTTATTGCTTTACATTTTATATTTTTACTAAGTCAACATTACTTTGTAGAAGTTCATCTTCACTGTGACCTAAAAGAGGCTTTTTTCATTTTTTGGTAAAATCATCTCCAAAAAAGCTGAATTAAATTGACAGTGCTACCAAAATACCAGAATGGGGGGGGGAGTCTTACAATTACAATTCATTTAAAAAAGGAGGGGGAAAAAAGTCAAAATATAGAAGTATTATCAGCAAAACTACTTATATTATCAGCGGTAGCAGTTCTTTTTATGCTGCAGCGTCTTGATCCTGCCACTGTTGTATCACTCGAATACATTAACTGACTGAAAAGGATCCACCGAAAAAGACAAAGGACATAAAGGACATTTATTCTAAAGGAATCTACACTGAACCACAATATAGATACATCATGCAAATGGTCTTCTTTTCCGTGTGACAGATCCTTGAGTACTGAGTTAGTCCACATCCTAGTCAAATGTAGCTTTGAAGGACAATGATCAGATAGAGAGCACAGACAGTATAATGACCAGTGTCCAAAAAAGGCCACCTTCCAATGCATCTTTATTGAAACGACACAATGCTGCAGCCGACAAGAAAAAGATAACAACAGGCTGTTGGCCTGCTGGATGCTGGCATGTCAGTGCGGGCCATAGTCAGGCACCTGAATGTCCACAACTATACCATTTGTCTGTTTGTTTCATATAACACAGTGCTGTACGTCTGACAGTCTTCCTCATATTGCTCTCGATGGAATGTGACATTACGTGATCTTGTCACCCAAAATGTCTGTCAACATTGCCAAGCCCTTTAAGAAAAGTAGGACAACACTCCACATGCCCACTATTTTACAAACCCTGTGTGTTTCAAATGTGTGACTTGTTACTGACTTGTCATTTCTGGTGTCAAGCTGCCCATCATCGTTTCTAATATTGTGCATTCTTTGTTGTTTTGTGACATTCACATGTTGTTGTAGACATTCTGGGTGTCGGAACAACAAATACCACCCTACGGTACAAAGAACGGATAGAGTTTTACATGCTACATATATGTTTTTGCTCACAATACTACGAACTACATGATTGGCTATTAATGAGACACAATATTTGTTGTTTATAATACTAAAATGATTCCTCTTCCAATGCCTCTTTAGAGCGAGTTCGCGAACATCTGGGTGATGTGACACAGAAACCCTCTCAGTGCTGCCATTTGCTATTCTCACACACGCACACACACACACACACACACACACACACTTCTGACCCAAATAAGAACGTGTGCTGGGAGTCAGCAGAGCCTGGTTATTTCTATATCTGTCCTCTTTTCATTCAACACTCGGGCTTTTATCTCCACTCCTCCTACGCTTTGCTTCACAAATTCACACACAACTCCATACATCCACCTCTGCCTCATCCACCTGCTGGTCCCTGAGTATCATCAGCATCATAAACCTACCCGCCTCCTCCCTTTCCTGCACACCATACCAACAACTAGCACACTTTACTTCACAGCTTGATATTTCCTCTCAGCAGCCTGCTAGTGCAGAGTTCTGACACAGAGTTTAGGCTGTTCAGGACATTAGGAATGGCTCCCAAAAGAGAACCCTCAATTAAAAAGTCTCCTTCACCAGTGACCCAGCCCAGACTGGGTCCTCCATACCCCTGCATGCCTGCAGCTCCTGCAACTCCAAAGTCGACTCCAGAGCAGAAGCCCAGGATGCTGCGTCCTTCGGATTCTCCGTTTGACCCAAGCACTTTGGAGGTGAGTGAGCTAACTGCAGTATATATTTCTGTGACAAAGCTTATGTGGGGCATTCATACATTGTGACTATATTTAGAAATCGCAAGTCTAGTCTTTTTTTACATCTAAAGTATCGCTTCGTACTCTTAGCCATTATGTTAACCTCAGTGACTGATACACAATAGTGGCCTATTATTAGATGTAGAATAAAACATCACAAGATGTGATTCAAAATCTCTAAGAGCATTTGGAATGAATCTTATATAATAATTTTGAAGCAAAGTTAAACAATCTAAATTGTCCGCATCAGTCTGGAATGAATGAAGCTAAGTAGAAAAATAGGGCACTGAAAGTACAGCTGGTTGTCAGTCAGTCAGTGGCCTCCTTAGGGAGCGAGAGGCTGCTTCCTGCCATGCTATGTGCTATTTCTTTCATTGGAAAGGTGAAGCTAGTGAATTAAGCGACTGCTTCTGAAGGCCATCACACCAGTAATTTCTACCAGAAGCTAAAACAACACAAAACTCAAAGTTAGCAAACTGTCATTTTTAAATAGTATAGAAATTTAGAGGTTTTACTTGCCCCATTTTTCAAAACTTTAAACTACTTGCAAAGAGAATCAGCATTCTTATATTACAGTCATAAGGCCTTGAGCATAGAGCATGAGGTAGTTTAAAAGCTGGCCTTATTTTGTCCAACAATTTACAGACTGAGTTGTTCACAATACGTTCTATCAACTGTTTTTCTATAATAGCATATCACAGCTAATTCAGTGCAGAGCTTGTAAAGAATTACAGTTTTATTTGCTGTAAAATACCCTGAATGCAATACAGCAGCATTTCTGTTACAGAATAGAATTTGAGAGATCTGTGTTAAAAATAAAAAGTCTCTATATGTTAAAAAGAAACATGAACCAATATCACCATTAGTTAATTTGCATATTTTTAGACTTTATAAATTATTGTGTCCTCTTAATTTGAGTCCCGTTCCATCAAACCTTTGAATGACTGGATATCAAGTCTTAGTATATATAATATAGGAGCTCTGCAAACCAAGTAGGCACATTCAGCAAAATCAAAATACTACCAGAACATTATTAGTCCAAACCATCACAAGCTTATCAGACCAAATGCATGCATAGGTTAACTGGATAGAACATTTCTAAATAATGTAATATGTGCTGAAGAATATTAACTTCTCAAATTAATAATGCCCCATATTAGAGTTTGCAATAATCTGTCTTAGCCTGGTTGTTGCTTAAGCTTTGCTGCCATCCTTGTGTGCTTTGCTGCATGTACTGCATGGTTTTGTGGAGTGAGGCTGTCCCATTTAGCCTGTGAGGATATGTGGGCCATGTTAAGACACCCTCTTCTGCTCACAGTGGGATTATAGACATGACAGTAGGACAGACCTCCTTCTGGGCAAAGACATTACTTTGGCTGGGCTGTAAAGAGATGTGGCATCAGACCCTGATCTCACTGGCCTCAAGTAATCCATCATTCCTGCATGGCCAGACACCCACCTCCTTAATGCAAAGCCTGAGCAAAGTCACTCAGTGCAATCATGCATTAATTCTGAGGTCAAAATCACCAAAGTCAGACACACACTACAACGAGACAAACATCCTTTAAACATCTTAAAATGAATCTCTCAGTCACAAAGAAAGAAAATATGTTGAAAAATATTGTTAATTTAAAAAGTATAGTAAAATAAAAGTATTGACTCAAAAAAGTCAGTGTTAGTGCGTTAGGGATCATTATTTTTATATCACACTTGTGTAAGTTCCATACTACACAGAAAACTGGCTGATGTTACAAAATAATGCTTGTAGGTCCACATCTTAAACTCAGACGTAAGGTGAGCACACAGAAAGTTTCCTTCTTCAGCAGACAAAATGTGAAACAACCATCTACTTTCAAAGTCTGAATACGTCATGCTACTCAAGCAACTAAGCCAGGTCTCTGTAAGCGATCGATCCCCTCCTGCCTTAAAACAGCTTAACCGTAACTCTGCCCCATCAGTGTAAATCTGTGAAGTCACTGCCTCTCTCTCCACTTGCTACAGCTCAACCACACCTGCTCAACTATGACCTTGTATATAAAACAGCATATGTTAATTGAGCAAAAAAAAAAAACAGAGGGGTCTTTAAACCTATGAACTCCAAAACCTGCTTGTGTATTTGAAAGGCATGTTGTCATTTTGAAAATAAAGCTTCAAAATCACTCCATTTATCAACCAAAAACTGTAAAAGCAGAAATAATCATCACTTTTCAGCTGTTCTGTGCCATGGAGTTCCATCAAGAAATTGCGATATTCCTTAAAAAGCACTTTATTCTACATGTCTCTTTTGCAAAGTTGCCAAATTTAAGCCGTTCGCACGAAACAGATTCCGCAAAAAAAATTAATTCTGACTCCTTAGCGCAACCATCAACTCATTGGTGACTCAGCTGCAACCAAACAAAATCTGACAAACACGCAGGGACTTTTCGGCTGAACTGCAGGCTGTGTTTAGACAGAGCAGATAGAAGACAAATATATATAAATGTATAAAAAACTTGGTGGAATGTTGGACATGGTTATTCCAGGTATTTTTTTGAAATGAATAATCAATTACTATGTGAAGTGCTATGAGAAAACACATGTTATGAATTGGCACTGTATAAACTGAATTGACTAAACTGAATTGAAATTAATTCCATTGGTGTGAAAAATGAGCCCACAGGAAATGAAAATGTGACAGAAACTACTTCAGGTTCAGAAGGTTAACCATCAATAAAAGGACAGAGGGAGCAGCATAAGTCACTTTTCAGCCTCCCAGAAAGGTTTAGGCCTCCTTAAATTCAGATTTATCTCTTAAGTATCACTGTCATTTACATCTCGATCATGAAAGGAATGGATGGCAGGTTTTAAGACCTACAATCCACGTACTGTATCTCACAAAGCATACCTTGAGCTTTGTTTCTATATATGGAGTTGCGCCTACCCTTCTGCTGGGACGTCGGCTGTGCGTGCTGTGCGTGATGACGTAAGGTTGCAAGGGTTTCCTCACCCTGCCCTTCTGCTCGAGCCGTCACATTCTTCGGTTAGCCGTCACCTCGGACACACCTCAGCCAACACAGCCATGGTGGGTTTTTTCGTTGCACTCGACTTAGCTAGCTTTGCCACCGTTGTTGTGCAATTAAATCTAAGCGTCAGTGTTTCAAAAATATGTTTTAGCTTTGCAAAGATATTCAACTACTCGTAATTATCTGAATTGACTCTCCGGACGCTAGCGGAAGTGTAACTTTTGATAAGCTAACGTTAGCTTGTACGGTACATTAAGTTAATAGTTAAGCTAAATAATGCCACTAACGTACCTTCGTGTACATTAAACGCTACTGAATGTGCTATAGTTGAAGAATGTCTTTTTAGAGTAAGTCTAACTAACTAAAAATTATATCCAGGAGCCATTGAAGTTAACCCGAGCTAGCTTTGCGCAGCAAAAGGAACCATTTTCATGTAGCCTAATTTCTTTTTGAACAGTCTGACTTCTCAGAAGATCAAATCCTCGGTGAGTTTTTGATTTGTGTTGTGACATTCTCATTATATCCCGCCTGTTTGGCATGCTTTCATTCTTGCTTGTTTCAGATGACACTTTGCCCCGTATCTCCACTTTCTCTGCTCTATAGTGGCCTGTCGCAGTAGTCGTGGTTTTAGGCTATAGGTTTTCCTTCTTTGTTTCCTTACTGTTTCATCACTTTCCCACTTGATACTGCTTGTCCTTTCCAGATTGAATTTAACCTGGATCAGATTCATGGTAAGTCAGTGAGAAGGGACCGCCTTGCACAGATATGTTGGCTATCTCGGCGTGTTTAGGGTGTGAACTGCATGTCGGTTTTGGAACCAAACTTGTTGTAAATGTGAATGCGAGCAGCTGTGCATCGTTGTTTAATACGTCAAAATCAGTCATATTGTGCACATAACGTGATAATAATTACCAGCTTTGACGTGTGTTGCAGTGTTTTTTTTTGTTTGTTTGTGGTCAGTTACCAGTTTTTATTAAGCTAAACATAGCCAGAGCGTTCATCTGTTCCCATAAGTCTCGTTCTGTTAGTCTGTAGGCACTCCTGGTTTTGTCAGTTTACCACAAACTTTGCGTGTTATCTTCCAAGTAGCTCATCTCCAGTGTGCCCATTTTTGGTGCTGGGTAAAGTGGTGGATGGTTTTTGTCCAGGGACTAGTCTGTTTAATCACTGCTGACATAATAGGCCATCGCTTCTCTCACTCTCCTCCTACTTTCCTCCACTCCTCTAATACCAAATATGGTGTTGGGAAAAGTGCTCACAGGCCAGAAGGGAAGAGGCACATTCCTCAGAACAGGAAAAAACTCCACAACAGTGCCTGAGCTTTTTTGGTGAATAGTTAGTCCCATAACATTAGGAACAGCCTGTCACTCAGATATTACATAACCCACGTCCAGGTCTCCCTTATTGCTCGATCTTTGCTAAGCTTGTCTGTTAAGCTTAACTAGCATGGCCGCTGTTGGATCAAAACAATCGTGCTTATTGACAGATGATAAAGCCCACATAAACAGCAAGGGAGGAAAAAAAAAGCTCAATACTTGTTAATACAAATACAAATTAAGAGCCTCAGGTACCTCACAGGCTTATTGACTATGCAACAGTCGTGTAAAATATTGATGTGTGAAGCAGGCAAGCAGAAGTGGTGTCAGATGAAGCTTTGTCAAGCTTTGGATAAAAGGAAGAAAATGTTCCGAGACACCTTCCAGACCGTTCTGAATGACAGACTATGGCGGAATCTGGAAAAGCGACCAACTAAAACACTTTCAACTGCTAACATACTAATCTTTTTTTTGTTTGTTTTTTTTAAACCACAACGACAAGTTATTACTGGTATTACTGGCTTGATTGACATGAACTTTACTTGAGAAATGTCGCTGCACAACAACCCTTATATGTTTGATATTTTTTCAAATGATGTAAAATTGCTTAAAATTTTACAGGTTTGAGCTTGTTAAAACATGTACCTGCTTTTCTACATCTTATATCAGTGCCCCATGGGTTCCTTTCAACATTTGGGAACACAAAATAAACAGTAAGAACAAGGACAACTTTTGGAATATTGAGTGTAGAATACACATCCCTTACTGTAATCTAAAGTTCAAAATAAAAGTATTCATTGCAATGGATTCATCCTGTGTTAAGTGAAGTGCTTCTAAGGACGTTTTGAAGCATTTTAGTGTTTACGTTATAGAAGAAATGTAGGCATTAGTCATTTACTCATTGAGTCTTGGCCGCCTCATAAAACAGTGCAATTTTCTGTACTTTTTCCTTATCTTTAGAGCTTTGTAAACATTTTTCCGTAGTCTGTTCATATGTGTTTGTTCACAGGCATATATATTTAATCTAGTACATTTGTGACACATTTCCCTGTAACATGGACATACTTGATATATTTACAAAATTCATCCATAAATTTACCATGCCTAAACTACAGGAGAGATCATAGTGTTCAATGTCTTAATGGTGAAATTGTTGTTGTTGTGTAATAAAAAGGTAGGACAGACAGATGTATTTGCTGAATTGAGGAAGTTAGAGGGGTGTTTGCAGTATCTGGCAGCAGAGAACAACCTGTTTTTAGGAGTTGCGTCACACTTTACCATGAATATAGAGGTGGGGATTTTATTCTAATTATTTTTACATTTAAGCTTTCAGATTTAGTTTGTGGTTATTTTCAGTGTGGTGAGGAGAGCTCACCCTGTTCCCTTTTTAATGTCACCTGTCCAGTCGAAAAAAAACCCAGATAGTTTGTAATCTTAAGGTTACCTAACACAATCCAGGCTTTCTCTGATCTGCTTGTTCTCATTTTCTTCGCATTATGTCTTTTCTGTTTCCATTTCATCTCTATACTATTGCTCCATACTGGTTATCTCCTTACTTAATTTATGTTCCTACTCTAATTCGTCACGTCTGTGTATCTTGCAGAGTTTAAGGAGGCATTCCTGCTGTTCGACAGAACAGGAGATGGGAAGATCGGCTTCAACCAGTGTGGGGACGTCATGCGGGCCCTGGGACAGAACCCTGTCAATGCTGAGGTGCTCAAAGTCCTGGGAAACCCCAAGGCTGAGGGTGAGAGAAACATATTTAACTTATAAGATGTTATACAGTGTGACTTTTATAAAGACTATTGAATTGTTTTGACAAAAACATCTGCTGACAAAGAGAGTCTGACTTGTCTCATGTGTTGTGTTTTATTTGTGTTTTTGCAGAGATGAACACCAAGACGCTAGACTTTGAGCAGTTCCTGCCCATGTTCCAGGCCATTGCTAAGAATAAAGATCAGGGTTCCATGGAGGATTTTGTGGAGGGACTGCGCGTCTTTGACAAGGAGGGCAACGGCACAGTAATGGGAGCAGAACTACGTCACGTCCTCACCACGCTAGGCAAGCTACATTTTACCACCCTTTAATACTTATCTGTGTAGACAGAATAGAATAGAATGGAATACTACTTTGTGTTGCCACTACATTCCTTTCACTTTCAGGAAAATACTATAATCTCCACAGATGGAGTCTTTGCAAAATTAGTTTACTGCAAATTGAATACACCTCACATCAAAGAAAATGACTTGCAAATGTATTTTAGATATCCTTATCCAATTTTTTAAAAATATGTAAATGTAAATTGAGGAAATGTTTTTATGTTTCATTTTCAGGTGAGAAAATGACAGAGGAGGAAGTGGAGACGCTCTTGGCAGGACACGAAGATGCAAATGGCTGCATCAATTATGAAGGTGAGAGTACAATACACAAACAAGGTCAAGATGGGATGCTGGCTATAATCAGGCTAATGTAAGGCTGTTTAATACAATCATTCATCTTACTAAGTCTTTGAAATGTGATAACAGAACCCCAGTCATGCACAACACTGTATGCATACTATGTTGTCTTGAAATATTCTGTAATTGCTAAAAAATGTAGTTTGGGTTTCTGTGAAGGCAAATGTTGAATTTTACACTAAATCCTAGTTTTCCAAAAATCAATCACTACAATTACTTTAAGTTCTAAACAAGCTGTTGCTATGTTTGATTTAGTGTTGAGATGAGTTTGGTGTCTGTACTACAGAGCCCCCGAAAGGTCACATTCAGAATTTGTGTTACCTCGCAATAACATTTGCTTTTCCTCTGACCAACTGAGAAAGGCTGAAGTATATTATGATACAGTATTATGTAGTAGACTGCTGCCGGTTGTGACCACTGAGAATATCAGTGCACCCTCAGTTATGACTGCTCAGGCACAAGCATTTACTGGTGTTTTGGTACCATATCGGTCATTGAAGCATCTTGGGCTGAAATAGTAAAACATCTGGCTATATCCATAACACCACAGATTGAACTTCAGCACCAGTCACAACCTGAGCAATGGCCACATATCCTGCCACAGCTTCACCCATCACAGCCAGATAGCTGCTTACACCCCACAGCTTTATACCGTCAGAGATCAGCCTTTTAAAATACATCATAAGAACTTCATGCAGTATGTAAAGTGACACGTCAACCTACCTTTCTGTAGCATCTGCAAAGTGTTGCCTTTAACTGGCAGGGCGTTATAACTGGACTGAACCAACACACCAACAGCTCATATCAGTCAGAAGGAATGCAATAGTATTGAAAGGTAACACAAAATTTATTGTGAGATGAAGCAAAATTGTTCCAGAAAAATGTTCCAAATCATGACCATTGGGATGCTCTGTACAATTCATGTTGGCATTGTCTGTCTAATATATGTTCTTACCATCTCTATTTAATAGACTTTTTTTACGAGGCCCTGTATTAATGTCATTGTCTGACGGTGTGTTAACTGTTCTTCTTCCACAGCATTTGTTCGTCACATCATGTCAGGCTGAGGGCCGGTACGGGCATTGTGTATATCATGGGATGTCACCTCCAGGCTTTCCTGCTTTTTACTCGCTAAATAATCCACCCACATATGGTCACCCTAACACTAGTCAGCTGTAGTTGCCCCAGTAATATTTTTGCAAACAGCAACGATTTGCGGTTGCAAAGTAGATTTAACCTGTAGGTATCCATGGGAAAGCCTGGTGGTCTCCCTCCTCTTTAGAGCTGAGGCTTTGACCCATGTGTAGCCTCCTGCTGTTCTGTCTCTCTCTCCTGCAGCCCTCTGTCTTGGCCCCTGGCTGCAGCATGCCCCTCTGCATGTGTCTGTGACTCCCCTCAGTTTATACGGGGATATGGTGGACACACAGGGAAGAGACTGGTCTCATTCAGGGAAAGTCTGGTGGCATTTGAACTAATTGGTGTGGTGGTTATGAGGCAGCTTTTCTAATCTTATTTGCATGTCATTTGGTGCTATTAAAACAGGTCTTTTCTATGTTGGTGTTGGAGATGCTGTTCCTTCAAAACCACTACACTTAGTAGATGTATGTGTTCATAATAGATTTGTTCTACATCTGTGCATAGTATGGCCACCAGCTTTGGGAGAGTGGACCAGTCCCTTTTTCTACTAACCAGAGAACTGCAATAAGACGCTCTTGTGCTGATTGTTTCCTCCTCTGTACTGATGGAAGCAGACGTTTTAGCTGGCCGCTCTCTGACTGGACTGTAGCTCCCCTGATCTTCTCCCCTTTTCTCTGCTGCTCAGCTAGAGGAAAGCATACAACAAGGATGGCTTCTCTAACCAGCTCTTTTTGGATTATAGAGGGCCAACTGCTTTATCTTAATAGGAGATAGAGATGATTACCTCACCTCTTTCTCTCAGTAACCTCTTCAACCCCCTCTGAGCAGAATATGGGGGATCTGCCTCCAAGTGCAGCATCTCCCGCCCAGGCTCACCAGTGCTGGATGAGGAGGGGGGCCTTAGCTCCACATGCTGTAGTTGGGGTAGGTCTCTGTCAAGATTTAGACCACGAAACTCACTTTGATCTCTTTCTCGTGTCTCTTTTACAGAACTGGTCAGAATGGTTATGAGCGGGTGAAGACGAAGAGCATCCCACTTTTTAATTTACCCTTTCACGTGCACCCTGTTTTTGCATTTAGCTTCTACAGTCCCCTCAAACTTTTCCATGAATTAGTTTGTCACATTTAATTTAAGAAGTGCCTTTACATTCCTGCAAGAGACCACAAGTGATCCTGGCTATTGCTTCCAGGTGTATTGACATGTATGACCAAGTTGTATTCACTGAGTCTTGGTGCTTGCAATATTTGCTACAACATTTAAAGGTGGACCATTTAAGACAACATAAATTGTTAAAGATATGCTATAGTTGTTGATACTAGTGTGTCAATGCTGGACGGACATTTATAAATATATACAGTATATACACGTCATACTATCAGCAGCCTGCTGTGTCATTGGCTAAGACTTTTGTTGGCTAAAAAAAACTAAAAAGAAAAAGTTCCTGATTGTACGGTAAACCAGTATATTCAAAGCCATAATATCACGAGAAAAAAGAAACATTTCAAAGAGGTTCCTGTGTTTTTATTTCACCCCAATTCATTTGCTACATTTAAATAAATGTTTTTTTTCCGGAAAATCTGTGGTTGTTTTGAGTGAATTTGTCTGTTTGATTCCGTAGAATACAGTGAGAGGTATTTTTGCCTTTTGTCTCGTCTCAACAGGTTTGTAAAGCATCGAGCATTTGTGCTGTTTTTCCACTGACACAAGAGGGCAGTGTTGCTAGTGGAATCTATATTAACGGCACCATTTTATCGTCAAAGCGTAAAGTTTGCACTACAAGAATATCCTGATCTGCCCTTTGATTGCTTGAGCCGAATTAAAAGTGCATTTTTAGTGTAGTTTAGTTGTTCATGTCAAACTCAGCTATTTTCAGTTAATAATTTTGAATCTGTTTGCAGCAGATGTTTACAAAAATTACAGTTTGACACATCAGTGTGAATATAATTTATTTGAGAGTTTTTGCTGTAATTTTTTAGAGAAAATGAGAAAGCGACAAATCCGTGAGGTATGCGCACCAGAACACTGTTCGGTGGCTTCCTGACCTTTTCTTCATTTTCCTCACAAGCAGCCACAACTATTTCCCCTCATTAGGCACCACAGCTATGGGAGTGTGAAGCTTATGTGTGTGGGGTAAGGTTCAGGAGGGTGTCATAGTACACTGCTGAATAGGTTGTCCACTAATTACTCTGTGTGTGTATGTGTGTGGTCGATGGAAGTCAAGGCTATTGATTATTTTAATCCTCCTATTTGTGAGTCTGTGATCCTCGTGGCTCTGCATTCGACAGGGGAATCACTAATGGGCCTCAGCGCAGCCCGTCTCAGACCTCTCCCCGTCCAATTAACTTTCAACTGGAATCTGCCAGGAGAGAGCCGGGGGCTGGGCCCAGGCATGGCGCGGCTACATCCCCCTTCTTCTGCTCGGGAGCAACAGATTCACCAAATCCTTTACGTCTAGAATGTCATCAGCTCTCCACTCTAATTAGACCCTTTACTTTTTGCCAATAATCTGAGAGGTATTCAAGATTCATTCTCTTTAACATGGAGATGATGTTTCTCTCTCTCAGGTTTGGAAACTGTTGAAGTGGCTGTATTGAAAATTATGGACCCTTATATGAAATTGTTAAGTATGTAGAAAACAACAAATTAGTTGGAAAATATTCATCATCAGTTTGACATCGCACATAAAAACTGTAAACATAACAAGGTTTGATTGTTGTACAATTGATTATCTATCATGTGAAGTAACACGCAGAGTTTAAGTATACATAATTTCTGTCTCAGTCATTTCATGCCAGGTTTAACACCAATTAGAGCTTATAGAGCATTCATAAACATGGAGCCTGTCAATAAATCACACACATTCTTCCTTTAAGCAAAGAGCTGCCTTTTTGCAGTTAATGATCACCTTAAATAAGTAAAATGTTCTGAAATTCCAATTACTTTTCTTCGTTGAGGTGATTAAGTAAAAATAGCATATCGGATGATTCTTATGCTCATGATCAAAAATGCAGAACAATGGGATTGATCTGGACACTCAGTCATTCAGTCAATAGTCAGAAAATTCTGGAAGTGTTTTGGAAAATCATGTCAGTCATTTTTAAGGCAAAAATGACCAAAATGTACTCATGCCAGTTTTTCAATTGTGAGCATTGCTGCATTAAAAAAATAAAATAAAATAAAAAATTGTATAGAATATTTAACTGAATATGTGTATGTTTTGGACTGACAGGTGGACAAAAAAAGGACACATTTGGTTTGGGGAAACGTTGGTTGAATATTGCAGATTTTACACAACAATATTTAATATGACATAGTGTATGCATTCAGCAGTATAGATTCGTATAAAGAGGATAAGTGTGTGTGTGTGTGTGAGAGAGAGAGAGAGAGAGAGAGAGAGAGAGAGAGAGCCCAGCATGATCCCCATAAAATCACTGTAGGATTATCAATAAACTGATGCAATTGCAGCAATATTACTTAAAGAAAATTTCCCCAATTCCCTGGATGTATTTCTTGTTATTGGTCAGCTTTACCACAAATGATCTTGGTTCAGAACACTAATAAATAATGTCAAGCCATATCGAACACTGAACCAGCTGGGTTTGTTTGTACAATTGATCACTATATTGTTACATTTAAAATGTATACATTGCCTGGATTTTGTAGATCCTGGGTGTATTATAAGCTGAGGTCAATATAGTCGTATTAATGTTTGTGTCTTAGACAGAGTCTTAAGACTTATTGGAAATCCATGCTGTAGGAGGCAGCGGCTGTGGTCAGCCACTGTTGCTTCGATCTCAGCTGTAACTCCACGTAGCCGTGTCATATATCCAATTCTCCGAGGCCAGGCCGAGTGGTCACATCAAATAAAACTGAACGAGGCATCGTGTGTGTTTATGACTGTTGAATGTACATGCCCATATTCAGCCCTGACCTTCATCAGGCCAAAGCAACACGCAAGACCAGACCACACACAAGATAGGTATAGATATTTTAATAGCAACTGTATACTCAACCTTTTCAATATACCAGATAGCCCATCCCAAAATTAGTGTTCACACATGATGATACTTTTGACAGCGTCTCTCAAAAATAAAGTACTAACCATATATGGCAGTGTAATTCTAGTAACATGTTTTTGTAATGCATTGCACAACATTTAGTGTAAGTAAAACACTGAACCTGTCCCTTTTTCACTGTCCCAGTATCTTACAGTATCTGTATATTCCACTCATAACGCACGCACACGCGTTCACACACACACACACAAAATATTGTCAATAATGCACTTGGCAATTAAAACTTCAATACACTTGAGTTCCATCCATGAAATGTATGGTGATATGTCGCCTTGTATTGTTCACATGTTTTGCTTTTATCTTGCCAAGTGATATTCTGTGTCATGACGGAAACAGGAGAGGACAGTCAAACATCTGTTTATTCAAATGGCCGTATTTTAATCAGTACTGTGCCAGTGCAGGGTGAATCACAACAGGGATTTAATTCATTTCAGTTGGTGTAATTCACTTTGAAGCATAGAGAAAAAAATATTTTACAATGACGAGCTGCAAAATATATGCAGGCCATTTGATCAGAGGTCACTCGAATGGAGAGCAAAAATGTAAATACCGTTTAGATAAAGACTGCAATACATTAAGTGTGCATTTGTCTCTGCTGTGTCACTTTAATTAATGGCACCCTCAACACCATTATTGCAATAAAAAGATCAGCGTTATGGTGTTTTTTTCTTTCTTTTTTTTAATATATTTTGTTTCTCATAATGTCAGTAAATATAGAACACATTATAATACCTTAGATATTTCAGAGCCACAATGTGGAGTTGTTATTTGCACCAATACTATACATATTCTGACATTCATATCTGCACACAAAGGGTGCCAATGAAGACAGTTGCTCATGATGGTTGGCTCAGTATCACACAGTTTTCACTTAATTCCACTTATCTCGGATTTTCACTCGATCCTTTTGTTGTCTACTGTGATCTCACGATGTCTGTATGCAGGTATGTGTGTGCTTGCTTGCATGCATGTGTGTGCATATTTTGGTGTGAACACTGCAAGTCTGTGTAGGTGCATTAATCTGCATACATACATGTCTGTGTAAGTGTCAGTGTGTGTCTCTGTGTATGCATGTTGGTGTTCTGTTTTTTTTTTTATAATAACCACTTCTCCCCTCTCCACGAGTGAGGATTAGATTCAGTCTGGGTAGATGAGGAAGCCGGAGAAGGTGCTGTACTTGTTTGTGTTTCCTCCGTGGACCTTCCCTCCGTCCAGCTGCACACACACCTCATCGCCTACATCCAAATGCAGGATCACACTGTTGGAGGCATAGTCGTAATTCTGATCAGCGTCCTGAGCAATGGCGCTTGCTCTTACCTGTCACCGACAGAGGACAGACATGTTGACAATTAGAAGATGGACAAAACTGCACAAACAGTTGGTGCACAAAAGTGTCATCCTCTGCCTTTAGCGCTTGTTTTTTTTTTAGGGCGTCATGATCTATTATTACAGCCTTTCAGATGAGAGTCTCGTGAGTGTGACACCACCTCCACAGTGATACTAGTTTAAAAGATGAATGGGAAAGCGACCCGTGACCCCAGAGGTGAACACAGCCACTCTGTCTATTATTGATCAGCTGTGGATGGGACTCGGAGCAAAACACTGGGGGATGGAGACCTGATTGGGCTGTGGAGATAAGCAGCATCGCCGGGGACAACAGGTTGTCTGTGGGGAAACTAGCTCAGCCAAGAAACAGCATCACTATCCACATCAGCTATTGACCTGTTGCTTATGATGCTGGGCCAGCTCAATATGCATGATATTGAGTGACTATGCCTAAGCTAGACAGTTTCACATTTGCATGCTGTGTGTGAGTTTGGTCTTATTGACCCAGCAGCAGTGGATCTTTACTTGTTTGTTAACACATTTAATTGGGTTTACTCAGCGTGGACATAAATACACATGCCCAGACTGAGATACTGGATTTGTCCATCTATGACTGTACCTTTAATCTATAGGAGCATCATATCATGCAAATATTTCTGCATTTCTGCAGTATGTTATGTTTTTAAACTTGCACATGCATGTCAGGAGCTTAATGTAAGAAGTGTGTACAAGTCTCAAAATGTAAAATAACTCCCTCTTTTTTATTTTTTTTTCCTGTGCAACCCTTTCAGATTCCAGTTTGAATACTATTAAAGTGTCCCAAATGTTTTGTTTTTTTTTTGTTTTTAGCAGTCATTTAAAAAAGACAAAAAAAAAGAAAAGAAATCTCATAAGTAGGATGTATCAATAATTCTGGTGTAGCAGCTCCAATCATAAGACATATGTCAGCCATCAGTGGCCTTGTGTCTGGCTCAGTGTCCATCTACGCTGCGAGCACTCAATCTATGTCAGCAGCCAGACAAGCCACGCACGTCTCCATGACAGCCACAGAATATGATCTGCAACTCAACTACCATCATGTCATTCCCATCACTGGGGCCTCTTTCTCCCCAATGAGCATGCATCAATTTGAAAACAGTCAATCGCTGACTAGCAGAGCCTGAATTACTGTAACTAAAAAAAATATGCTCTTTTCCCTCTGCACCAATACATTTTGCCCTTGTCTGAACACACTCTTCACCATCTATCAACCCCGGAGTTATGTTTCATTCCTTTGACAATATCTGTAGGTGTCCTCAAATAGGATGCAGGTCATGGACGATGTGTCCAACACACAGCGTGCTGGTGACCAGTGGTTAGCCATGTCCCTGTCCACTCTAAACCAGACTGATTAAGGAAGCAGAGAAATCAATCTCCTGGGATTCACAGCTCAACAAGCACTCAGTAAAACTGATCACAGCTATTGTTACACCACTGCAATGGTCTTGTTTCATTACATTTCAAATTCTGCAGTCCACAGGGACATTTTTAAGTATGATAACGCTGGAAGCCTATGTCTACAATGATGACAATTCTATTCAGTTTTTCTCATTTGAATGTAGGATTAGAGTGCACTTTGAGCTATATATCAGTAAGTGGCTTATATAGTCTAAAGTGTTGCAGTGTGTATGCAGCATGCAACTGTTCATTTTATCCACTTCATATCTTACTCATTTTTTTAATGGCATTTACACAGTTAGCCTGCTGCTGGAATATGTGAATTTGCCTCTAACATCAATGTAGTCTCACCTGAAATAGAGCTAATAACCATTATACTGTATGTTTAATGTAAACAGTGTGTCCTATTAACACAAGGCTGGCTGATAGACAAAATAGCTGATTATATCTTGCATCCTTTTTATTTTTACGTACATTTTTCTTTGTTTCTCAGAACAATAGCGCCAAAAGAAAACATATTTTTTCTTTACTTTTTGTTAATCACTTGACATCAAATGCATAATTTTTTTACCTGTGTGAAAATTTACAGGATTTGCAAACTATATATTTAAAATTTAAAAAATACATTTTTCTTTTTGTTATAAATGCAGAACTATCCAATTTTTTTTTTCTAAAAAAAATAAAAAAATAAAAAAATGGGGACTTGTGTGACCCAGTCTGCCCAATTAGTATAATTAATCACTGGGCAATTTGTAGCCTTCCATGAACCCTTATAAGACCATCTCTCAAACAACAACACTAACATATTGTCATCTATAAAGGTTATATTGTTCTGCTTGACATGTGTAGTGACAGCCAATATCACATTTGCATCTTTGGCTGCATCTGACAGTGATGCTGTTGTTGTGACTTCCTATCGACATCAGGCATATGCCATCCTCCTCATTATTTTGGCCAAACAGTGTTGTGAAGGGAGATGTAGGCAGCTCTTTCTCTCTTCAGGCCTTCTCAGATTTTAATGGCTTTTAATGGAGGCGCTGTTTAATTCTGAACAATTGAATTATATTAATCACTCAGGATATGTCACTTTCACAATATATGATATATGAATCGGGGCTTCCTGGTGTTCCTGTGCTTGAGGAAATAATGCGAGCCATCCATTAATGCAGATACCAGACAGAGAGGCATGAGGGAGTCGTGGTGGGATTAGGACAGGAAGCCAGCAGAGGAGATGGATACGGCTGGAGGACACGGACTGATCCATGTGAACCAGGCAGCATACAGTGCTGATCCTGGAGTTGGAAGGGCTGTGAGCCGTGAGGCAGGGGCCCCTCAGGGCTTGCCTGTGGCTGTCTCTGCCTCCGCCTAGCCCTTTCATTATAGGGCCTCCAGTAAACACGCCTGGGAGCAGAGGGCCACAAGCGAGGAAGAAGGAGGAGATGGGCTTGTGGTGTGAGGAGCAGCTGCAGTGTCATTTTCTATACAGGCGGAGCGGCTGCGCAAAAGACAGGCAAGGATAGACAAAATGAAGCGAGAGGCGGAGGGGGGGTGGAAAGGGGCCAGAGAGTTGAGGAAGGGGGGGCCTAGAGTAACAGACTGATCAAGCGAGGCTATTTTGTGAGACCGGGGAGATGTGGGGGTATATGAAGTCTTGTTTTTATCTGTGGTGCTTTGCTCCACTGGTAATAAAACTGACAGGATTCATTCACTGTGATATACTGACCTCTTAGAGCGGAGACAATAGAAAAGTAGCTGTTAAACTTACCTAAGGGACTCCAGCACATGGCAGGAGGGTTGGGGAGGGATGGTGGGGGGGCAATGTTGTGGAAATAGAATATTTATTGAATAGGTTTTCCCTCTCCTCGGGGAGCCCAGGGATTACATGGCGACAAGCGACTTAAGCATTGAACCGTGCCTTAGATTGCTATTACCTGCCATTCAGCATTATAGTCGGTGTTCTATGGCACCTGCGCACAGCATAAATGGGATACACTCCTCCTAATTATTGTGTTTCATCAGAGGCACGCAATCAAATGTTATTTAGATCTCCCATTAACTAAAAAGACAACATTTGTCTTGTCTTCCCAGGACAAAATTCTGCCGTGTGTCTACCTCTTTGCCTCTCTGAAGCTAATTATATTTCACCTGTAGCATATCTGTGTCTCCTGACTGGAGAAGTTAATACAGGTACTGGTCATTACAGCAAGTGATGACATTTTAACACCACTGTGTGAAATAACTTGACCTTTCTCTGAGCTATTAAAAGAGACTATGACAGGTGAAAAAACAAGGGAGAGATTAAATGGGAGCCGAGGAAGTATCTATTTGCCTACATAGCATCTGGAATATTTAATATATATATTTACAGCATAGCATTATGGAAATGGAAATGAGTGGGTGAACAGCTCGCATGCTAGTTAATGAGGGAAAGGGGACATGTTCTGTTAGGAAGGTACACATGACGTATTACCACCCTTCACAGCATTCCAACATTAGCATAGACTGTCTTCATAACGTTTGCTTCCAATTTGGATTATTAAGTGGCATACAACTCATATACTCTTGACAGTGAATTAGAAATAAAGTGATTAAACATATTTATAACAGCAATAGCAGTCATGAGAAGGGCATTTAGATTTTGTTATTATGAGTAAGGCTAAATCAATATTGAAACATTAAGAACCATAATGATACAATATGGATCCATCATCTTCCCGAACCGGGTTATCAAATTTGAGCTTGTGTACAAGCAGCGTGAGTGGTGTTTAATCAGCCGAACAAGAGTAAGGTGCAACAGTGCTGATCAAACCTTCAAATCATATGTTGGAATGTAACTCTATGTCAATTGCAAACATGGAAGCAGCTGAAGTGTGACCCGTTTCAATCTCAAATCCCCCGGCTCTGAAGCGATGTCATGCTGCAATGATTTGTTAAAGTTAGATTGAGGTGTGAGCAGGTAGGCTTTACAGGGTGGGGATTTAGTGAAGGTAATAGGTATTGGATCTATAGGAATCCCGTGGAAGCCTTGTCACAGTCAGCACATCCTCCTGAGATCTGGGCACCGCTTTACACCACGCTCATGTCACATGACACAAGTCACAGTCCAACAACCACACAAGTTGTGTATTCAATCCTACAAAGAGAAATCTTCCGCCATCCAGAATTAATGACTTTGTCGAGTTTAAACTATCTCTAATGAGCGTCTGCACTTGTTGAACCGGTGCATAAACAGAGTTTGCAAAACCGCTTTTTTTCTCTTTTCTCTGGCCGACCTTGATCACTTGTCAAGCCCAGACGTGTTGAGTGGGTGTCCATTGGTCATCATGCCTGATCTCATCCTGGCCTTCACCGCCAGCCTCCCAGATGCCTCGTCTACCAGCCCACTGTCTCCACACCTCCATTAAGTCATCTATCTTCCTCTGCTCCACCCCTGATCTTCCATCAACTCACTTGTCTTGTTTTGCTCTCGCATTCTGCGTCTTCAACTGGACATCTCAGCATGTCCCTGTCATGTCGAGTCTCTTGTGTTTCATTCATTCTCGCTGAATCTGTCTGAGCTGAATCTGTAGGACTGGCTGCCTAACAAACAGCAGGTTACAAATCACCTCCTCGCTGAAGGTATAAAAGTTGCAACAACAAGGGGAAAGGGAAAAAGGCAAATTTGTGGCTACGGCAGTCCTTTTAAGGTGGTATTAAAGAAAAAAAACAGCAGGCAGGACAAAATATCCAATAAAGCTTCAGCACCTACGGCTATAGTAAAACAGGTTGTTTGAATCTACGGTCCTCAATGCAACCTGTCGAACACAGTGTCCATTTAGTAAACCCTATCCGCTGACTGGCCTCAGGCTGAAAACTCGCCTGCCTCAGGACTTCAATAACTCCAAACATGATCAGGTATTCTGCAGAATTCCATTTACACTCCATTTTCATCTAGCAGTCACACTGTTTGGGTAGATCCCTGTTAGGTGAGTGCTCTATTTAACAGAACTATTTAAAGAGGCCACCTGACGGGTGTCAGATGGACCTTGGTGAGGTTAAATAATTGAGTTGAGTGAAAAGATAATTAATGGAGAATCAATGAACAAGCTGGGAAGGGGTTAGGAGAGGAAAGTATAGCGGGTGTTCAGGGGATCTAATCTAAGATGTATAAATTATTTAGCAGGCTAAAATGACTTGAATGACAATATAGGACATTAGGCAAGCAGCCTTAAACACATATTCACCTTTGTGGTCTCATGCATATACAATCAAACAATGGTAAATGATTAATTATTTTAAACATTTAGTTCCACATTTTTAAAAAAAATGCAAGTCTAAATGAGCCTATTTTATTACAACTGCGGTGATAAACTATATTGTATGCATGCGCCTACATTAGTGTATGACCAGCCCTCGGTGCACTGCACGTCTGGAGAGTGAGGTCTGAGCGGAGAACATTTGCATTTAGAGTCCTTGATGAATGAATGAATGTAAAAAGCAACTTGAAGAATGTTTCCTGAATTTGGAGTCCTCTGATGAAATCCCTGTGATTTATCCCACCTCTCCTCTCCTCTTCCCCCCATCAGCCCCTCTGTCTTTAATTAGTGTCTGGGGAATGAGGGAGTGGATGAGTGGACTGTCAATTTTACATTCATTATTTATTTAGCTAAGGTGTAAACTGACTGGTCCACATACTGACAGACATTTCTCCTGTGCTCTTTTGCACTTCTGTTTAGGCGATAATCAAGCTCTGTGTATGATACTTACTAATTAGACTGTTCCTTTTGGCGGCAGCGGCTGTATTCTGCCACTTGTCATTTAGCCACAGTACATGTGGGAATGCAAATATCTGCAGCTGCAATTTTAGACTGTATAGCAAGAATTCCCCTTAATGAGGAGAAAGATTGCAGTTTCATTCTTTGGCTGTCATGTTGCCACCTGCTAAGTGGAATGTGCTCTGAATCTGAAGAGCTCAATGTTACAGAGGTGAATATGAGTCAATGGAAAGACAGGATGGTCAACAGTGAAAGGAATCTGTTGCGTGGTCATGTGTGCGCGTACATACAAATACTTATATATACACCTTATTGTACACACACCTTCAGGCATGCACATATTCACACACAGGCGCTTTCACTAACCAGTCCATTCTTCTTCAGGTCTGCCCACATGCTCGTCCCGTCACCACCTCTCATTAGAACATGGTAGGTGAAGAAATAGATGCCAGGCAGAGGGCAGGTGAACTTGCCGGTGCTGGGCTCATAGTAGTTACCTACGTTGGTCACCACATCATCAAACTTCAGTATTTCACTGCCCTCGTGTTGCTTGCGTAGCCCTGCGTAAAAGGCAATTTTGGGAGTGTAGAGTGAGGGAGAATAGCCGCCAGGGCCTGGACCTGGGGGGCCCTGTGGCCCTGGTTTGCCTGGCTCTCCAGGTGGTCCTCGTGCTCCTGGAGGGCCAGGGATCCCTGGAGGTCCTCGAAGCCCAGATTTTATCTTCTTTCCAGAATAATCCTGCGGAGGTGGAGACACAGCTGTCAGCTCCTGGCCTGGCTGAGATGTAGCGTAGGGATCACATACCATCCTGCAGCTTCCAAGCATTTCGTAATGGCTCCCTGCATTTCTGCTGTTCCCTCCTTTGGTTGTATGGACCAGCAGGGGAATGGCCACCAGCAGTACAAGAACCATTGCCACACCTACAGCAGCTCCAATGACACGTTTCCTGCGGCTGAGCCGCGAGGCGGCCAGCGTCAGGAAGTCCTCTTCCCCCTTTGCTGGAATAGTGCCAGCCAGGATGAAGCCTCTCAGAGAACCAGTACGGTATGAAAAGGTGAAGAAAGATGCAGAGAGGAGTGTGTGGGGGGGAAATAGTGTATCACTGGGTCAAGTATAAGAAAGAACACAAAATGGCAGACGGCCAGGAAGGAAACACCGGAAGACAAGATCCAAGAGAAATTATAAAAAATGTTCTGGTGACCCAAAAACAAGATATTTAAAATCCTATATAAGTAAAAAACGATGAAAGCTTCACACACCACGGTGTTTAGGGAAATAAACAAAAAAAATCTGAGATGTCTCAGATTTGTGGTGACACAAAAAACATAATTTAATTGATCAAGTCTGGTTGGCCTTTTCCTGACTCCTCCTGTCGTCCTGCAGTTGTGTTCAATTTTCAGCATCAAACAGAAACCGTAACTGGCACTGAGGCAGTTATTGTGAAAGCTGAGCTTATTAAAAGTACGCTGAAGTGAGAGCTGGTGCCAAATTCAGCTCAGTGAGGAGGGTGTGGAGGTATTGTTTGTTTTGTTGGATGAAGTATAATTTACAGTTTTTTTTTTGAAGAAAAATCTTCTTTCAAGCCCCCCCAACAAATCACAGGATTTCACTTCATGTAGATTTCTCACTTAGTGCCATGGCTGTAAGTAAAAAAAAAAGTTCATCAGAGATCTTTTCCTGACTTAGTCATCTTACCAGCCCCCACTTTTATCTGTCCAAAAACGTCTTTTTCACAAAACCACAAACAATTTTGTCAACTTGGTCTTGCTTTTGACAGATTCCTTGTCTGGCTATATCTGGATCTGGAAAGGATAGCAAAAAGAGCAAAGGCACTCAATAATTCATTTGTCCTTATTTACCACATACATGTATATAATTTAACTGCACTGAATTGCTGAATAATTAATTGCAATAAATGAAATGTTTAAGACTCCCAGGTGATTAAAAAAATCAATAGCTTTTTAAAAATATGAATATATAAATGATGGATATATATATATTAAGAAATGAGCAATATATATTATTTTAGAGTTGATGTATATTAAAAGAATTATATGTGATAATCTACAGTAAGCATTGTTCATGGTTAGATTTAAATCTGCTAAATAAAACAAATAAAAATCCAAAGAAACACTCACCACTTGTTTTTTTATAATCCAAAAATATTTATGAAGAATAAAGTCTGTGTGCATCGGTCTTCTTCACGTCCCACCAAAACGACTGAAGGACTTTGGACCGCTGGAGTGCCAAATGGAGAGCTGGAGAGCCGACGGGCGCGCAGGAGATGCCAGGAAAAGTGGTGCGAGTTTTCTTTAATCGCAGCGTAATCCCCTCTTCTCTCTCCAGGTAGAAAATGAAGTCTAAAAGCCGATAACTTCTAAAGGAAATGAAGCCCAGAAAAAAAATACCTGCTTGAACACTTTCTTTTAAACACAATTCCAAAAAAGCGGCGCGCACGGCAACCTGACGCTCCTCTCCAGTTTATCTGTTCACTGTATCGCCTTTCGCAGCGTTTGGTCCATAGACGGTCCGCGTCTTCACCTGTTAGATTTCTCTCTCTCTCTCTCTCTCTCTCTCTCTCTCTCTCACACACACACACACACACACACACACACACACACACACACACAGTCTCCCTCTCTCTCTCTCTCTCTCTCTCTCTCACACACACACACACACACACACACACTTTCAATTACTCGGGCATATTTATTTTCCTCTTCTCTGAACTCTATGCCCAAAACGGTAATTTATTGCTTATATAACTTCATATATGATCTATTCCATATTTCCCATTTTTTCCTTGTAAATAATTGTGTTAGGTGTTGTTGGTGTTGTTGTAATCATTAGAGTGCATTTACTTCACTGTATACTGATACAGATGCAGACCTGACCACACTGATGCTCCCCATCTGTATCTTGTTAGCCTGACATTCACTTGTTGTTAGAGGCAAACTCTTTGCAAGCAAAAATGTTTGATAAAGTGTTGCCGAACGAAGGCAGATGTTTTCATCTTCTGTGTGCCAGGCAAGGGAGGACAGAGGAGGGTGACTAAGTAAAAGCTGCCTCGGCGTGATGCGTGAGGAATGGAGAGGAGACACTAAATGTTCCCCAGACCATTGTCTGTATGTGTGACTCGCATCCCACAGCTATAAAGCCTCATTAGTGAGACACCCTGCCCCAGACATTGTGCTGCTCTTTTTCTTGTACCTAAAATGTTACGCAAGCACATACCATGGCTTCACTCTGGTGTATACACACATGCATGCACACAGACCCATCCAATAGTTGGACAAGGTCTTGCTTTGTTGTCTTGTACCATCATTTGCTATGTTTTTTTAACACATCACCTTCACTGATGATCACATCGCATTGCAGAAGCATCTTGGGAAGATTTTTAGTTCATATCATTTCCTTAGAGTCTTGTGTCACCTGTCTGACAGGCACAATCGCAGATGTGTGAGTTTAAAGTTTAATGACCGAAGCAGTGGCAGCGAGGGGAATAGGTCTACATACAGTATTGATGACTCCCTTTTCATCAACCACCACCTCCTTGACCTCTCCCTCCTCACATATGATGACCACTGTCTGGTAATGTAGGGAACATCCGACCTGATCCCAGCAGACACGGAGAGACGGATAATCACTGAGTTTTAAGGTGGCTTTCCATGGATGGATTGAATTTGCTGGGAAATTGAGGTGGAGGGCTGTCAAGGTTTGGGGGTGCAATAGCCTGTGATATTTCCATTGGGAGATGTTGGTATAGCTAAGCGGCGCAGGGAGGAGTTAAACGCTGTGTCACTCCCAGTTTTCAGGTCAGTCAGGCTGGCCCGCTAGAACAGTGCTCAGAGGTCCTAAGCAGCGTGGGGCAGATAATCATTGCCAACAGTCAGAGGCAATATGCTCAGGATTGGATTTTTAAAGCCTGTTAAAATATTACTGAGGTGATTAATATTGAAATATGCGCATGTCTCTCTGCTGTCTGTCTCCCGCTCTCCCTATTCTCTTCTTGATTTGTTCCCCTTAGTATTCGCACTCACCTGAAATTTCAATATCATGCATTATGTTGATGAAATGTATCTTCTCTTTGTGCGGCGCAATTGCTTTGTCGTGTCACTTGTTCTGACTAACACGGACTCAACTGTCACGATAGCGAAAGAGCCATAGGAGAATCTGTACGGAGCGTTTTGAGTTATTAGTTTGTTTAATAATTAATTTCATATATTATGATACACCAAGAATAAATCTCTGTCTTTTGTGCACACGCCTGCACAATTCGAGCTCTGGCTTTTCTATTCTCTGTAAACAAGTAAGAGAGGAGCAGGAACTTATTTATGGCCACATTACTCACGTCATATTTTGTCTGCATGCTTTTTTAAAGACATACTAATTCTTCCGTTCAGCTATCCACAGCATTTTTTAAAAAATAACTTTAAACAAACCACATCTTTCTTGCAAGCAGACGAGTAATCAGAGGAATTGTCTCAGTGATATATGTCACATATCCTACACAGGTTTACTGTATTGTGTTTTGTGTGTGGATAGCAGCGCTGCCACGCAATCCACACCAGTGAACCAACACATACTGAGCACCAACGCTGACCTGGATGAAGACATATTGTCCCCAAGAGCCACATAGCTGCCAGAGGACCATCACTCCCAGGGAGAGTTTTCCACAGTTAACACCGACAGGAAACCAGCTATCAAGCTCCCATTCTTTGCTATGTAGATTACACTCTTGTAAATCAATTTAGAGGTCGTTTGGGATGTAAAAGGTGGTTTGGGACAAGTCAGAAAGTGGATAGATAAGGAAAAAAGACATGGAAAGACATCCACACTGCTGCAATTCGTTGCTGATATTCATGTGATGCGTGTATTTGGCTTGACCCCTTGAAAATACGGCTGCTGTGGAATGATCCATGGCGTAAAAGGAAAAGAAATGAAGAAATATGCCACATTGTTAGCAAAGTAATTCAAAGTAGAAAATAATGTTTGTTTATTTAGGTCCGCTAGTTCATACATCACATTGTGTCTGCACTCTGATATGAAAGACATCATTTTCTCCCTTGCTAACCTGAGCATGTGTGTTTACTGTACCGTAAGTGCAGACTCGCAAGAGGAGCACATGGGTGTGGATGTGTCTACATCCTGGTGCTGTGCTGTTTCATTAGGCTCTGATTATGGGGCCTGATGCAGAGTGACAGTGTGCAGATTGAGTTGCACAGCCACTCTAATTCTCTCTATTAATAACAACCCTCCACACTGCCGTCCTGAACCACATTTATTAATCACAATTTGTCATCTGTCCGATGCTCCACCCTCTCCTTCTCCCTTTTCTCTTTCCCTCCCTCTCCTCGCTCGCGCTCTCCTCCTCCCCTCCCAACAGGGCCAGTTATCCCCTGCACCTCTCCACCTCCACCTCCTCCCACCCTCAACACCAGCTTCAGCTCAGAGACATGGTCCAGCATACAGAGGGATGTTCTCACTCTCCTCGCACACACACACATACACTCTCCCACTCACTTTAACTGCACTCTGGAAGGAGTCTGATTCATCAAATGTTCTCCAGCTTTAATTGGCCAAATAACAGTTAACTACTTGGATTGTGTGGACTGTTTTGTTCGCAATCTACCGAAGATTATAATAAATTACAGTAAAACAAACTTCAATTTGCAATTACAGAACAGTTATGATGCACGTCGCTGGACTCGCAACACATCCAGCGCTTGTACGGCGTAATGCATCATTATAGGGATGCTCAAACATTCACTGAGATAGCATGCGATGGCCTTTTGGAAAACATTGATTCTTTTTAGCATTAATCCCAGCCATCTGGAATTTCTACGTACACAAATGATGGCATTTAATCGATAGGTATGCTGGGATAAGCACAATATGTTATTGCATTATTG